AAAATTGATAAATCACCACAATTGCTTAACACAATTTTATCTCAGGAACTATAAGTGTCAATGAGCTGAAATTTTCAAGGATTGTAGTCCTTTGAAAAGGATAATTTTCAGTGAAAGATTCAGCTTTCTATCTATAATAGAAAAAAAGTTACGACTTTTGAAAGTTTTCCGAAAAAATCATAAAGGGGGTACCTTCTTACTAAAATGATGAAATTTCAAAATTTTTTTTGTCGAGATTTTGGGTCACACTGATCCCTCGTGATACCCTGAACTCCATACACAAAATTATTCTCAGATTTGAAGCCGAAATCTATGGAAAAACGCACTCAGAAAAATTGAGAAATTGATAAATCACCCCAATTGCTTAACACGATTTTATCTCAGGAACCACAAGTGCAAATGAACTGAAATTTTCAGGGATTGTAGTCCTTTGAAAGGGATGAAATTCAGTGGAAAATTCAGCTTTCTATCTATAATAGAAAAAAAGTTAAGACCTTTGAAAGTTTTCCGAAAAAATCATAAGGGGGGGTACCTTCTTACTAAAATGATGAAATTTCAAAATTTTTTTTGTCGAGATTTTGGGTCACACTGATCCCTCGTGATACCCTGAACTCCATACACAAAATTATTCTCAGATTTGAAGCCGAAATCTATGGAAAAAGGCACTCAGAAAAATTGAAAAATTGATAAATCACCCCAATTGCTTAACACGATTTTATCTCAGGAACTATAAGTGCAAATGAGCTGAAATTTCCAGGGATTGTAGTCCCCTGAAAAGGATGAAATTTAGTGAAAGATTCAGCTTTCTATCTATAATACAAAAAAAGTTATGAGCTTTCGAAGTTTTCCAAAATCTAAATCATAAGGTACCTTCTTACTAAATGATGAAATGTTTTATTTATTCTAATGAAAAATTCGGTCCACCTACCTACTTTTGCAGGTAATCTGTGTAGGAACCTAATCAATATTTTCAGTTAGAAAAAATAAAACATTTCTGCATGTAAATATAAAGTGAATTGTATTCAATTGTATTGTATTGTATACTAGCTGACCCGGCGAACTTCGTTCCTCCTCTGAATTATTAAATACCTATTAAATGTTGTGTTAACGTATCTAAAGTGCGTTTTTTTTTTAAAGATAAAAGTCAAAATGACATTATGTTGGCAATACAATGTAAAATTGTCAATGCTTTCAAAATTTTTATGTAGAAAAGGCTTGTGTTGCTAAGATAGTTACTAAATTTTTGAATTGGGGAATTATCTTTAAAAAAAAAAACAGATTTTATTAACTGAATTAAATTCAGCTTTTTTCGATGGTGAATTTGGCTTTGGTTGAAGAAAATTAATTTTTACTCTCTGGATCAGAAGTCACCTAAAATTAAAATTTTACATCATCCCTTTTTAGGCATCTTGTGGGCATTATTCTTATAAAGTCTACGACCAAATAAATAAACTCAGGCACAAGAATGTTCAAAAAATATAAAGAAAACAAAAAAAATCTCCAGCGCAGCCCTGTTTCATTTTATCTGCACTGCTACTCCATCTGTTCTACTGTATCTGCATTATTCTATCTGATATACTCTTTCTGCACCACTTTACCTGATCGGAATAGTGGAATAGTTCTGTTTGGAATAGCGCCAGTTCCTTAGCAGTATTCTGTTCTACTGTATCTGCAATGAAATTACCGCATAACGGCGAGCTTCGTTCTAGGTAGCTATCATATATGGCGCCGTATACAAAATGGTTGTGGGGGACTTATAACCTGGCTCTCTGCCACTCGACACCAGCCGGACGGAGCACTCCGAACAGTCGCCACGGAACACGACTGTCAAGGGATGCCTAAGAGGAGAAACGGAACTTAGTCACAGAACGTCAATGGTCAAGCGTCAAGAAATGACAGGGAGACCAGTTCGCGCTCTTTCGGAATGAACGAACCAACAAGAAAATAAAATACACAATTAAAACATTGTCATTCTATTTATTTTTGGACATTTTTACTGTGAAGAACAATTAAAAATTAAGTGCTTTCCTCAAATTGTTTTTGTGCAAAGTGTGTGACAATAAAATCCACATGTTTTGCAATGAAAATGTAACGGTAAACTTGGTATCGGTTATAAGCGATGGCCCGTATGTGGGCTTAGTGAGTTTTTTTCATAAATAAGTAAAATAGATATTTTTTTTTTTGGATTTTTTCGATTTATTATCGTAGGATGGACAAAGACAAATCCAATAAAGCAAAAATCATAGAAATCAGTCCAGCCGTTCTCGAGTTATAAGTGCTCAACACCAACACACCTGTGTTTTATATACAGGGTGTCCGGTAAGTATATGGCATACTCTCGGGAGCGTATAGGAGAGGTCAAAATAACCCTACTTTGTTCTAAAAAAAAATTCCTAAAGTGCCCCTTAACGGAGATACAGAGCCCCAAAAGAGTACCTGGCGATCCACATTTTTGGCTCTAACTTTTGAACCGACTTGTATAATTTAATGAAGTTTTGATATTTTATGTTGGCCATAAAGACTCATAAAATCATCCTACAGCAGATGTTTCACATAGTCTGGGAAGTCAGGAACGGACTTGCCACCATATTCATTGTGCCAAATTTTTGACGGGAGTCATTTTACACAGCTGAATACTGATTTTTTGAATACTTTGGTCATTTCTCTTCAAAAAAGGTGCTCTTCATTTGTTTCCATTAAATCAGCCGTTTCCGAAAAAATTGGGTTTTTGTATACGCACCTTCAATCATATACCTTAGAAATTTATTTAGTAATTAAGTTTATCCTAGATTAGATTAGGAAAGACAGGTAGAAGTTGACTTATAAAAAGTAACTTTATATGGCAAAAAGGGTCGGTTTCAGGTACTTTTTATAAGTCAACTTCTACCTATTTTTTCTTAATCTAGGATCGACTTGATTATTAAATAAATTTCGAAGATAAATGATCGAAGGTGTTATACAAAAACCTAATTTTTTCGGAAACGGCTAATATAATCGAAACAAATGTAGAATACCTTTTTTAGAGAAAAATGACCAAAGTATTTAAAAAATCACTTTTCAGCTGTGTAAAATGACTCCTGTCAAAAATTTGGCAAAATGAATATGGTGGCAAGTCCGTTCCTGACTTCCCAGAGTATGTGAAACATCCACTGTAGGATGATTTTATGAGTCTTTATGGCCAACATAAAATATCAAAACTTCATTAAATTATACAAGTTGGTTCAGAAGTTAGAGTCAAAAAGGTGGATCGCCATGTACTCTTTTGGGGCTCTGTATATCCGTTAAGGGGCACTTTAGGAATTTTTTTTTAGAACAAAGTAGGGTTATTTTGACCCCTCCTATACGCTCTCTAGAGTATGCCATATACTTACCGGACACCCTGTATATAGATATTGCAATCAGAAATAAAAGGCGGTTACACATGTACGCACATAAATATGAACGCTCAAACAAAAACATCAATGTGTATGCAAAATACCGTCGCGTTTTTGAATGTGCAATTTTGTATGCACACTCGGAATACTGTAGCAAGAATAGCAAGACCGCAGTTTTGTGCGAGCGTCTGTACAAAGGCGCCATGCACGTTGTTGTTTGCACGTTGTTGTATGCACGTATATGTATTATGTATTAAGCCATCCACGTCCGTGTGTAACCGCCTAAACCTAGTATCAAACAAACTAAAAATTTACTGGGTGTTCCATTTAAAAAAAATACTATTTGTGCTCATAACTGTCAAAATATATTAGTCTTTTGTTTTTTGTCCATCCTATCTAAAACTTGGAAAGCAACCCTACAGTATGTTTTTTTATTTATTTAAATAACTTCAAAAATAAAGAAATTATGACATTTTAGATAAAATGACCACACTGTACAGACGCTCGCACAAAACTGCAGTCTTGCTATTCTTGCTACAGTAATCTGAGTGTGCGTGTGCATACAAAATTTCTAGCGATTCCACATTCAAAAACTCGACGGTATTTTGCATACACATTAGTTGTATTCCTTTCAAGAGTTTGAAACACTCGAGCTACTCGCTCCGGTGTTTAGTAGCCCCCGATTTGCAGGGAGCATATGCGTGGTGCAACAAACACTTTTCGAAAGGAATAAGCGCGTGAAGCCCCGGAGCTGTGCCGGAGCTCCTCCTAGGTGTGAAAGGAATACAACTATTGATGTTTTTGGTTGTGCGTTTATGTATGTGCGTACATGTTTTCAGACATCCACATCCGTGTGTAACCGCCTTATATCTAAGGGCGGTTACACACGGACGTGGATGTCTTAATACATATACGTGCATACATCAACGTGCAACCAAGAACGTGCATGGCGCTTTTGTACAGACGCTCGCACAAAACTGCAGTCTTGCTATTCTTGCTACAGTATTCCGAGTGTGCATACAAAATTGCACATTCAAAAACGCGACGATATTTTGCATACTCATTGATGTTTTTGTTTGCACGTTCATGTATGTGCGTACATGTTTTCAGACATCCACGTCCTTGTGTAACCACCTTATAGGCTGATAGCGATTTCCATTTGTCGATCCAGTGCAAAAAAATGTATCCTTATCCTTATCCGCACTGATTGACAAATGGAAATCGCCATGAGTTCGGTTTTACACTCTGTAAACTGAGCGCGCCCGTAAAGATAGGATCCTGTTCGTTTGAACTCTCAGAGTGTTCTCTTTTGTGTTCGGATTACAATCGAACACGTACCCTGAGCTCGCTCTCTTTTTTTCCTGGATGGATGGATGGAGAACCTGAGAAATTAGGAAATTTACAAGAAAACGAAAACTCAAGAGCCAGAGGAATAGACAAATTATTACGCTAATAGGGTACTACTTGAAATAGGAGTAAAAAAATACAGATTCTTCCATTGGAGCGAACACTAGAATGCACCGTAGAAAACGCTATTGTGAAACGACAGTTGCCCCATCTAGTAGCTTTACAGCAAGTATTGTTTTTACAATTATTACTGTCAAATATTCGGTGACGTTTACATCATTCCATTTATTTTTTGACGTTTGTTCATAAAAACAATATTGGTCGGAAAAAAAAATTAGTTTTAGCAACATCCAACATCACCAAGTTCTTGTGCCGGTTTTGGCAAATATAGTTCATAAGGTTCAAATAAAAACAGTTAAATCAAGGCTATGGTTAATTTAGTGAGTTATAAGTTTCAAGTTTTTACAGTTTTTACAGTGAGTAATTTTGTATTTTCACTTAACTTTGCCACAACCACTTGGCTCATAAAGAAAAGATTATAATTGATTTGCATTCCTCCCATTTATCACATCACATCTTCAATTTGCTTATTTTATTGCTTCAGATAACCATCACTAACCTCAGTTTTCTAGTACTCTCAAAATACCATTATTTTTCATATAATTGATGACGATTCTCATTATTTTTAGGTAACATGTATATTCTACAACCCGACAGATAGTGAGGCAGTGAAATTAACACAGCAGAACTTTGATAATATAATAGGTTTGTATGTTTTGGTAGCTTATTATCAAAACCATTCCTTAATTCCTAATTTTTGTTTTAATTCTCAATAGATACACCATTATCTATAATTCGAAATGGTTTTAAATGTGCTGCAAAAAAAAGGTCCTGCTGTTTATTTTTGAGACAGAAACAGGGTCCTCAGGGTCATATTATATTCATATCTGTAAACATCAACCCTCAACATCAATTAGGTACCATATTTTTAATTTTTTTGCTTTTGAAAATTTTGAGGAATTCGAAATTTTTTAATTTTCAAAATATTAAAGTCGGTTTCCATGCTGGCTTGATATCAAGTTTGCACAGTCATTATTTCCTCAACTTAAAATTAGCTAAAATTCTAAATATGATAACAATAACGAATTAGCAACAAATATTCCACTAGGGAATTTTTCTTTTCAAAAATATTTAAACGGTTTTCAATTTTCATACTAGTTGATTTCAAGTTGGCATTAGCACAACAAATAAGTAGTCCCTAATAGGTAATTATCAACAAATAGTACATTAGATATTTTTTGTTTTTAAAAATAGGTATTTAATTAGGTTTCATGCTGATTGACATCAAGTTGGTATTGGTACTGAAAATTTTCAAAAGCAAAAAAAGTAAAATTATGATAACTATTTAGCAACAAATAGGTATTCCCTCGGGTATTCCAGTAGGGATATTTTGCTAAAAATCTTTTGTCTTTAAAAATATACATTGAGCGGGAAATTGAGTAAATGATTTTATGCTGGCTTGCTACCAACTTGACACCTCGCTTGACACAGACCCTATTTTTTTGAAATCGACAAAGCAAAAAAAAAATTAAATATGGTAGCAAATTAGCAAAAAATGCTTCAAAATGAATGGGCAGTTTAGAGGCGCACATGAGCCTATCCTAGAATGTCTAAGTCAATTTCACATAAATTAAGTTAATATGTATTCTTCTTCTTATTAGCAATGCACAGGTTTTGCTTCGCGCTATTTTTTGTAGTTAATTTATATAAAATTTCTCTTAAAAGTGACTTATTTATTTAATGGTCTCAAATTTTTTCAGCCTCTAATGAATTAGTATTTATTAATTTCTACGCCGATTGGTGTAGGTTTAGTAGTATTCTGATGCCCATTTTCGATGAAGCTGCAACAGCTGTAGCCAAAGAATACCCTGAAGCTGGTAAAGTTGTCATGGGCAAAGTGGATTGTGATAAGGAGAGCTCAATTGCAACAAGGCAAGAATCATTCCTATGTTATTTTTTATTATCCTTATTCATTGAGTGACATATTTAGGTTTCACATTACAAAATATCCAACATTAAAACTGATAAGAAATGGACAACCAGCTAAAAAAGAGTACCGAGGCCAAAGATCTGTTGAAGCATTCACAGAATATATAACCAAGCAACTAGAAGACCCCATTAAGGAATTTAAACAATTAAATGAGTTGAGTAAACTGGAATCGAATAAAAGGATTATTATTGGTGAGTTGCTATCTAACTTATTATTTTACTTACTACTAATTGCCCATTTATATCTGTGAAATAACTTATCAGTTGAAAAAAAACATAAAGTGAATAGTTTTGTGTAAAACAAAGTAATTTGAATGCTCAGACGAGTATGCACACATTTTACTTCCTTACAATCAAACAATTCATTTTAATTCGTTGAGATTAGTCAGGATTTCGTAATAAATAATGTTTTAGTTTTGATTGGGAGAATCAAAAGATATTCATGTTCTAAGTTTCAAGTTTAAAAATAAAGATAAAAGGATTCAAAAATTTACTGTAGTCTTTCTAGAATACATGATACTTAGTTGATTCCTGAAATTAAAAAAGTAGGTGAATAGCTTTTGCAGTCGGTGTACCTACATATTTCTCACAATCTTCACACAATCATTCAAAATCAGATCACAATCTACCCTATGAATAAATAAGAGCATTTGCTTTTTCTCCCAAAATCTGAAGCAAATACCTCATCCAGTATAAATAAAAGTTCAAGCAAAACCTCTTACTTGAAAGTCGGAAGCAAATGCTCCAGGAAAAAGCAAATACTCTTTTTCTTATGAATAAAACAGAGTATTTGCTTCAAATTGGAAGCATTTACTCCGTGGAAAATGCATCTGCTCCAGAGCAGATATATGTTTACTATTTTGGTTTCCACATTTTAAAACCATTTTCTCGAGCCGAGAAATTATGATGGCATGTGATATTGTTTTAAACCAGTTGTAAAACGTTTGACTCATGAGAAAACACCTATAGTCTCTACACAATCAGTCACAATCCTTATACAATCATTCACAATCACTCCCAATCGTAAACAATTGCTCACAATCTTAGCAAATTTCCTAAGAGATTGTGGAATTTGGCAGTCGGTGTACACATTTTGGGTCAGCTATTCACCCCTCGGTACATACTATTGGGTTTTATGGAAACCAGAACAATTTTGTTTTTAACAACAAACAAACTTCAATCTCCCAATAACAATAAACAATTTTATTTTGTTATTATTATTTTTTCCTAATTCAGGCAATGAACTGTGAAACAACATTAATCTGAGATTGTTGTAGATTAGATTAGTCTGTTGATTTTTTTCAACTTGCATTTTGCCCTTAAGTTGTGAAGGTATAGATTCTAAAATTAAATTTAAATTATTTTTAACAATCAGTTTAAATATCTTATCTAAAATACATACATTTATATTTATCTTAAGTTTTAAATTATTTGACATACGTAAATACCTATTATCAATTTGAATAGCTTAAAAGATACACCTGTTAGTAACAAAATACTAGTAGATATTTGGCTCCGGTACACTTTACGGACACACGAATTTTGCAAAATTTTAAATTTCATGAGAAAGAGGCTCTTCTATAGGGTATTAAAAAAAAAATGCGGATTATCCAGTAGTTTTTGAGAAATCAATTATTTCCACTCTGTGTTGAGTTGATGCTTGTTCACGTTAAACTACCTATATTCTTTGTACATTTTTCTCGTGAAACAAGAAGCGTTCTAAGAAAAAAAAAATTAAATTTCAAGGTGTTTATTTAAAAAAGGGTTTTTCACGTTTTTGTGGATTTACGTTTCCTAGGATCTTTTTTTGGAGATTTGGCGAGAGGAGCAATCCAAGAAAAAATAAATAAATAAATTAAATTTCAAGGTGTTATATTTAAGGGTTTTCCCGTTTTTGGTGGATATACGTTTCCGAGGATCTTCTCTTTGAGACTTGGCGAGCGGACAAGCAATCCAAGAAAAAAAACAAAAAAAAAATTAAATTTCAAGGCTATATTTACAAAAGGGTTTTTCACGTTTTTGGTGGATTCACGTTTTGGAAGATCTTCTATTTGAGATTTGGTGAGTGGAGCAAGCAATGGAAAACTCATAAATTATTTAAATTTCAAGGTGTTATATTTAAAGGTTCTGGTGCATTATAAGTACCTACCTCAAAACTAGACATTTCTTTATAGACAGTAAAGTTTTATCTCGAAATAGTTTACGGGGACTAGCACGCAGTACAAAGATGGGTTAGTTTGGGTTAGTTTGCATGTTTTTAATCAGTTTCAATACGGCACAGTAGTAACTGTTGGTTAGAGTGTACAAATTTCAATAGTTAAATAGGTATTATACGCTTTATCATTACTCAATAATGTTTTTTTCGAAAAATGGTTTGAACACTTAGCTCTTCTTTCAGTTCGAATATCTACCACATGATGCTTTTCATTTTTATCTGCTAACCAGAGCGATTGTGATATTAGGCTGATTGTGTAAAGTAATTTACAATTGTGTAAAGTAATTTACTTCACACACTAGTGAGTGAAGTAATGTCAATGACAGATGTCGACACTATCAATTTGTATTTGTCTGGTAAATTACGTCACGCTCCAGTGCGTAAAGTGAAAATATTTTCCGCACTAGTGCGTAAAGTATGTATTTGTCTAAATTTATTTTTTTACACATATGTATTTGATTGGTAGTAGAAAAAATTTTGTATGCAATACGTGCGTAAAGCACCTTTTTTCACGAATGTAAATCACATCTTACACACTTGTTGCATTAATAACTATTTCAGGGAAAAATTAGAAACAAAAAAAAAATCTAGAATATTCAAATTTTGAAAGCAAAAAAAAATCTGGGATTTTATTTTTGGAAAATTTTTGAAAAAAACATCTGGATGCATTTTTGAAAGAAAAATGACAAATTTCAAAAAAAAATCTGGATTTTTTTTTTTCAAAAGATGAAAAATTCTGGAATTTTCTTTCAAAAAATAAAAAAAAAATCTTTTTCAAAAAATAAAAAAAAATTGCAATGTTTCTTGCAGGGAAAAGAGCTGAAATTTAATTTCTGGAAAAATTTTGAAAAAAAATTCTGAATGCTTTTTTGAAGGAAAAATGACAAATTAATTTCTAAAACTTTCAAAAAAATTTGGAATTTCCTTTGAAAAAAAAAAAAAAAATTGGAAAAACAAAATTCTGGAATTTTCTTCCAGGAAAAAAAAAAAAAAATTGGAATTCTATTTCGGAAAGAATTAAAAAAAAATTGAAGTAAAAATTTCGAAAAAAGAAAAATTTCAGATTTTTTTTGTGAAATTAATCCAGAAAGAAAATTCCGGAATTTTTCTTTTTCAAAATTTATCCTTCAAAAATTTTTATCCAAAAAATCCAAAATTTTTATTCAATAATACATATTCCTGAAATAAAATTCCAGATTTTTATTTTCTTTTTTTCAATTTTTCCTGAGAGAAAATTGTAATTTTTTTTTCAATTTATGAAAGAAAATTCCTGATTTTTTTATTTTTTGAAAAAAAATTCCAGAGTTTTAAATTACAGGAAAAATTACAAATTTCTAAAAAAAAAATTCTGGAATTTTCTTTCAAAAAATAAAAAATTCAAGAATTTTCTTTCAAAAAATGAAAAATTTAGGAATTTTCTTTCAAAAATTGAATTTTCTCTCTGAACAAATTGAAGAAAAGAAAATCTGGAATTTTATTTCAGGAATATTTTTGAACAAAAATTTTGAATGCTTTAGGAAGGATAAATTTCGGAAAAGAAAAATTTCGGAATGTTCCTCAAGGACTAATTTAAAAAAAAAAAATCTTTTTCCGAAATTTTTCCTTCATTTTTTTCTGAAATAAAATTCCAATTTTTTTTTTTCCTGGAAGAAAATTCCAGAATTTTGTATTTTAAAAATTTTTTTTTCGAAGGAAATTCCAGAATAATTTATTTTTTTACTATTTCACTAGAGTGTTTTACACTGTCAAAATGTCATAGGAACGACCGGTTTCCTACTGACAAAACTTCTATCTATTCCTACCTGGGCAAAACCAACATGATGGTTTTTCAGTGACAAAATTTTGTGTGGTTAAGGTAAAAAACTATTGAGGGCGGGTATTATAAAACTGCTTTGATAGTTAACTTGAAGTTAATTTTTTGAATTACATGTAATTCCAGAAGTTAACTTCAAGTTAACTCTCAAAGTAGTTTTATAATACCCGCCCAGAGTTTGACAAGTGTCACCTGAAGCAAATAAATTTTCCAAATGAAAATTTGGCTTGTTTTTCTCGTGAACTAGTCCAGCCGAATACCACTCAAGAAAAAATTATGTAGGCAAAATTATTCTCTTGGTTTTATTCAAGTTTGTTGCGTTTTGGTAATTTCGCTCATGAAATTTTTGTCATTCACGAAATTGCCAAGCAACAAACTTTCATACCAGTCGAAAATTTTGCCAACAAATTTTTTTCTCTTGTGGTATTATGTATGAAAATTTTAAAAATTAATTTGTCATTTTCCTTCACAAAAGCATTCGGAATTTTTTTTCAAAATTTTTCAAGAAATTAAATTTCAGCTCTTTTTTCTGAAATTGCATTGCAATTTTTAGTTATTTTATGAAAAATAATTTTTTTATCATTTGAAAAAAAAATTCAAAATTTATCATTTTTTGAAATTTGATTTTTTTTTTTCTAATTTTTTCCTGAAATAGTGATTTATGCAACAAATGTGTAAAGTGGACCTTTTTTGTGCTTTACGCACGTATTGCATACAAATTTTTTTCTCCTACCAGTCAAATATGTGTAAAAAATTTAATTTAGACAAATACTTTACGCACTAGTGCGGAAAATATTTTCACTTTACGCACTGGTGCGTGAAGTAATTCACCAGAAAAATACTGTCAACTCATAAACGTACACAAGCCCACGCATTACATAAATTAAGTAAATTTCCAAAGGAGGTCACCCCGGACTATTAAAAACAGACCGATTTTGCTTATGCCAGCAATAATTTCAATATAAATTCACGCACTGCGGCAATGCAAAGCAAGGTTGGTCTGGACTGCTTTATGCCTGATAAGGTACGAGCCTAAAGACCTGCCTTCTTAGCTGGGTACGACTAGGTATAGTCGAGACTGTGAAACTTTGTGGATGAAGGTCTCGTCTATAGCAGCCGTGTCACAGCGACCTCAAGTTTAGACCTACGAGAACTATGCCCTTAGGGGGCCCATTCTTTTAGTGCATCTTGGGTTACATTAAACATTAAACATTCTTACACTTCGAGTTGACAATCGAAAACATGGTCCACCAGGAACGAACATCTGCGGTGTTAGGATTTTGGTAAATCTCCTTGAACTATAAGGTGTAATTAAGGTTTAGTAATAAAACAAATTAAATATTCGTGGTGGTATTCCTTCCCCCCATATCCTCTCTTTTCAGATAAACCCTTAGTGGACGCAGCCAAGCGAAGTAAAAGTGGTGGCACCGCTGACCACAACCAACCTAAGCGTGACAATACTAAATTGTCAGTGTCGACATCTGTCATTGATATTACTTCACGCACTAGTGTGTGAAGTGAATTACTTTACACACTAGTGCGTTTACGTCTTCTGAATAGTGCGTAAAGTGAGTACTTTACAAACGGTAGTAGAAAATAGTTATTTATGATATAAGTGCTGGAAGTGATATTTTATTTTGTGAAAAGGTAAGTTTGAGACACAACGCCGAAGGCGGAGTATTCCATCCCTTTGAACAAAATAAAATCACTTTTAGCACGAATATCACAGCACAGTGCTAAAAGTAATCACTTTCAACACCAGTGTCATAAAATGGCATTTAAGACACTGACAGCATCCGTTAAAAATGACACTTTTAGTGACATTTGTAGAAAAAACTGTTTTTTGTTGCTTTCGCCATTAAGGTCAAAACAAAATATCATGTGTTATATATCGTTGAACTCGCAATTTTTTTCTCAAACTACCGAACCAATAAAATACAGGGTGATCCATTTGAAAAATCTTTGTGTTTTCGAATGTCTCAGACGATAAAGCCCCCATATTTTTTCTAAGTACGCCACTGGATTCTACGTAAAAAAAGACGTATTTTTCCTTTTTGCACTTTTTCTATATCTCTGTAGGGTAAGAAGTTATAGAGCTGATTTTGAAAAACACCCTGTACCTCGCAAACCAATATTGTCGGCCAAGATCTGACTACACCATGAAATGACACACTAAAAAAGAGGACGGGAAGCGTATATCAGTTTCTCAGTATCTTCGGCCATTTTGGCTGTACCCTATCAAACTATCAAAAATCAACCACCCTGTACATTTGTTTGAATGGAAATGGCGCAGAGGCGTCCTCTACCACTGCAACCTTATCCGATTTATTGTGGTATTTAATTGGATTTTGTTTGTCATTGATTGTACTCATACTTGGTCCTACGAGAAGCTAGGAAAGTAAAGGTCCACCGAGCCAGAGCCCCGCATGGTTGGGTGAGGCATGAAATACAGGGGGGTGTTGCCTGGTACCCCCGGGCGAACGTTCGAGGTCACACTTGTCCCTGTGACCATCCAGTCCGCAGCACGTTACCTTCTACCTTGACTTGGGAGAAAGAGAAAATAGTCTGAAGAGAGCATGAAAGAAGAGATAATCAAGGGAGATCGCTATAGGAAAAGTAAAGGATCAGACGCCAAACAAGTTCAAGCAGCGTCTAGATCCAGCTGCGGTTTTGTTGAGCTGTCCTTAGCAATGACTAGCCTGTAAACATGGCCAGTCGCTGGGCTCCGCCACCAACGTCTAAGTCTCACAGCGCCTCGGGGAAAACATAGGTATCATAAAGGATTACGAAAGGACAGGCAGTACCTACTCACAATTCATTAAAGATGCAGATTGCTCTTAAGAATTATTGTTGTTTTTATTTAAATTTAACATAAGAATTGATTTATTCAATGAATAATAGTGGTGAAACGTTTCATTAATTTGTGTTAAACTTCAAATAAGTCTCTTAGGAAAATTAGAACATGTGATGTCATTTTGCTTGAAATAAAAGGAGAAAAATCTGAATAAGAGTTCCAGGTCCGTTTTAATAAAAATTAAAATGATAATGATTGCCAAAAAGCGAAGCGTTGGATTTCAAATCTGATAATTATTATAATCTTGTCAGAATGGCAAAGTAACAATGATAAAGTGTCAGGAAAAATATAGATACTAAATTTTGCAAAATTTCGTTTTCCGGATATCTCCGGAACTCTTATTTAAGTACACTGACTGACTGACAAACTATGCACTTTATATACAAAACCTTCATCTCGAGAAATATTCTTTACAGGATATTTTGATAGAAGAGATCAACCAGAGTACCAAATGTTTAGACGAGTGGCGACAAATTTGAAAGACGACTGCCAGTTCCACGTCGGTTTTGAAGAGGCCTCTAGATCCATGCATCCCCCCGGCACTCCCATAATTGTGTTTAGGCCAGATAAAGACAGATCAACTGATTTAGATGAAACCTATCCTGGTAGCTTATCAAACTTTGATGAATTACATATTTGGACACAGGTAAGCTTAGATGAAAAAACTACCATGGAAATACACTTTAACCTTCAAAATTCTCAGAGTGTTTTAAAGAAATCTCTTATCCTGATTCTATATTCAAATTTTGCAAGAAACCTTCACAAAAGCAACCAATATCATCAATAACTGAAAACACGAAACTTACACCATTTTTGTTTTATACTTTCAGGAAAAATGTGTTCCATTAATTCGTGAAATTACCTTTGAAAATGCAGAAGAACTAACAGAGGAAGGTCTACCATTTTTAATCCTTTTCCACTCGCCTGATGACAAGGATAATATCAAAAAGTTCAATGAACTTGTGAAAACTGAACTTTTATCTGAAAAACGTAAGTAAGAAATTAATTGTAAAAAATCTGTGAACAGAATCTTAAATAACATTATTGATCCTTCAATAAATTTTAACACGCATTTTCCATCCAGAATCCATCAACTTTTTGACAGCAGATGGTAAACAATTCGCGCACCCCCTGCACCACTTGGGTAAAAGTCATGCAGACCTACCTCTTATCGCCATCGATAGCTTCAGGCACATGTACCTGTTTCCTAAATTCGAAGATATGGAAATACCTGGAAAGCTCAAGCAGTTCATCCAAGATCTTTATTCAGGTAAGACCATTTTCAAAACATTCTGGCCATATTTGATAGAAACAATCCTTAGTGCTTGGTTGCGCCTATTGTTCCTGAAGGCAGTAATATCTGCGCCTAGTAATATCTGTGAATAGAATGTTGTCAAAGTAAAACTGAATAGTACATTGTTTGCAGTATTCTAGCCTTTATCACAATATATTGGAATTATTTATTTATAGTAGAACCGCCAACACTTCAGAAAATGCTTTGCTTCAATGAAAAAATTACAGAACATAGGGAGAAAGATTATAATAAAAATTTGACTGGCTGCCAATTAGTCAACTGACAATACAATAATCATATCAAAAAAAATTACCTATATACCTAAATAATTAGTTCATTTCATATTATTATTATATTACGTTGAACTGATTAAATTCTCCAACACTTCTCCTTAAATAGTTTCCGACGTAAATTTTCAAAGACTTTCTTGTTCAATGCCTTTGTAAATATAAAAATTTTCGAAATTTTTAAGCATGAAGTAACGACTAGTTTGTAACCGAAATAATTTGATAGTTAATATTATTGTTTCAATAATTTTCAATGGTAATATTTGTGTGAGTGTGTCAGCTTATAATTTTAAAAGCGACATTTAAAATGGCTTTTATTATTTTCCTTAATTTTAAATATTTACCGCGCAAAGAAGCGAATTTCTTGGAAATTAAAAAAGAATAAATGTCTCAAAAACTGTTGAGGATGGTATAGAGGTAAATGATGTTTAATCGGTAGTAAATGGGCTATACTTTCACCTCCTCGAAGCAATACGTCTACTTACCAGTCACCCTATATATAGGCAACTTGTTCTTTTGTATTCAGATAAACTAAGCGTACAGTCTTCCCAACATGCTGATTTATGAACTGGCGAGGAATCGCAATGTGTTTTTTTCCTTTTGTGACTTTCCCTTCTTCTGCATTTTTCATCATATCTAGTGATTCCCACGAGAGTCTCGCATGGTCTCGTCCCGTTTTCGAGACGAGACTCGAGACGAGACTCGGACTGTCTGGGACAAGACGAGACGAGACGAGACTTTTATTGCTCTCGTCTCGAGTCTCGTGTGCAAAAGTCTCGCAGGTGAATATTTCTGCGTGCAGACAAAGAACACAGATAATGTAAATATATGCAGTAGCCGAACTTTCGCGAAACCGCCTACCCCAGTTCATTGCCTACCCCTCCCATCAGAACTCTGTTGGCAGTGGCGTATATAACGGTGGGCGAATATTTTATATTTTTACAAAATATTTTTTATTTTATATTTTCACATGACGCAATATTTTATAATTAGGTGCGTTAAAATTACCGCCATCCTGGGGGGGTTTATTTGAAATTGATGCAACTTGGCGCACACGCAAAAATGACGCAAATGACGTCAGATGCGAATGAAAAAGTGCATGTCAAATAAGCCGTGCACCAATTTTCAATCCCGAATGACGTTATTTGCGTGTACAGGGTGATCTATTATAAATGTCACCCCCTTCTAACTTTTTTATTTGACATTTTTGACAGAAGTGTCAAATACAAAAGTTTCAAGAAATTGTCGAAACTTTTTAACTGAGTCAGTTTTAGGCATACAGGGTGCGTCAAAAAGTGCAGCAGTGTGAAGTTATATTTTTTTAAATAGAACACCCTATATATTGTGCGCTTATTTGTTAGTTCCTTTCAACTTGATTTCAACGATATATGGTTTGATACGTCTATCTATATACAGTGTGATTTTCTAAGTGTGCAACATATGGGGATTTTTTTTAGTAATAGCACAACCCAAATAAAAACAAGGCAAAAAGTTGGTGCATGTCTGATAATCATATTAGGTGCACTTAGAATGGTTGCAAGTCAAACAGCATACAGGGTAGCTCAAACAATTTCAAAGCTGGTACTGTAAAGTACCCTTATTTTAGAAAATTCAGCAAAGTGTTATAGGGAAAAGTTGTTTAGAATTAAAAGTTATGCCTAAATACCAAAACATAGCCTCGTAAGATTTTTTTTATTTTCTCTCGAAAAAAATCTATAATTTCTATATTTTTTTTATTTTTTATTTCCGCCCTTGAGACATCTCAAAAATTAATTAAAATCAAATCAATTTTACATAACTCTGTTCAAATTCAAGCATATTTGTAAAATTAACTTAGATTTTTAATTTTTTATGGAATCACAAAATTCATGTTTGTTGCAATGATATTCAACACAACTTTAAAATGTCGCAATTTTTTTTTTTTTAACAAGTTAAAACATTACTAATGGTAATAGCCATATTAAAAAAACTCTCCTTAAAGTGCAAAAGTTTTATTTTATTTAGGTGAATATTAGTAGAATTTTGATATTTTTTCAGCCACCCTGTATGCTGTTTGACTTGCAACCATTCTAAGTGCACCTAATATGATTATCAGACATGCACCAACTTTTGGCCTTGTTTGTATTTTGATTGTGCTATTTCTAAAAAAAAATCCCATATGTTGCACACTTACATAATGACACTGTATATAAAAATTAATGCCACTTTTCGTTGTAATTTTATAACTCAAGAAAGGGCTCACCTAGCCAAACCAAATGTTTAGGCTTTGTTCGGACTATTTATTAGATGGTTTATGTGAATTTTGCACAAAATCGGTCGAGCGGTTCTTCATTTATCACATTTTTTGTAATAAATGAATTATTCAATAAATGGAGGATCATTTTGTTATCATTATTATCTATATACAGGGTGGGGACTTTAACTGGAACTAATTCGCTAGAGCCTTCGAATAAAATATGTGGACAAAACGCAAAAACACGTCGATAAAGATTTTTTGCTTGAGTTTTTTTCACATTAATTTTTTTATACAGGGTGTTCCAAGAACAGCTGTACGGTTGTCAACTTTATTTTTCCAAATGGTAGCCCCTGTATATTATGACATTTCTGGATTCTGCAGAAAGTTCTAGACATATTTCATTCACAATGTCATATACCTATCTTCAATTGTTTCGGAAATATTGACAGTTGAAAATGGACTTTTTTTGCAACTTTGACAGGCTGTAAGACCTTAACGGTTAATTTTAAAGGAAAACCGATTTCACATTCCTCTTAGATTTTCATAAGCTATCATTTGACACCAACTTTGAATTTAATCCATGATTAAAAATTCCAGTTAAATTCAATCTCCAGTTAAATTCAAAGTTAGTGTCAAATGATAGTTTATGAAAATCTAAGATAGGAATGTAAAACTGGTTTTCCTCTAAAATTAACCGTTTAGGTTTTACAGCCTGTCAAAGTTGCAAAAAAGTCAATTTTCAACTGTCAATATTTCCGAAACAGTTGAAGATAGGTATATAACATTGTACATGAAATATGTCTAGAATTTTCAGCAGTTCTAGGTATCTCTGATACCTAGAACGAAGCTCGCCGTTGCGCGGTAATTTCATTGCAGATACAGTAGAAAAATGCTACTCAGGAACTGGAGCTATTCCGAACAGAACTATTCCAGATAGAGTGGTGCAGAAAGAGTAGATCAGATAGAATAATAGTGCAGATAGAGTAGAATAGATGGAGTAGTACAGTGCAGATAGAGTGAAACAGGGCTGCGCTAGAGATTTTTTTGTTTTCTTTACATTCTTTGAACATTCCTGTGCCTGAGTTTATTTATTTGATGGTACACTTTACAAGAATAATGCCCACAAGCTGCCTAAAAAGGGATGATGTAAAATTTTAATTTTAGGTAACTTCTGATCCAGAGAGTAAACATTAATTTTTTTCAACCAAAGCCAAATTCACCATCCAAAAAAACTAAATTTAATTCAGCTAATAGATACGTTCACACAACATTTAATAGGTATTTAATAATTCAGAGGTGGTACGAAGTTCGCCGGGTCAGCTAGTCTTCAATAGTTATAGGGGGAAACATGAAAACCCCTTTGAAGTTTTCATATTGAAAAAAGAAATATCATGCCATTAAAGCTTTACAGAATTTTTTTTATAAACAGTTTATTGTTCAAATTTTTTTCAATAATATACAAGGGGAAATATTATAATAAATCTAGATATCTAAGTAATTTTTAATATTTAAAAAAAAAAATAACATGAGAGATCTGAAGGGATTTTCGCGTTTTTCCCTTTAACTATTGGAGATAAACCAAGAGATAAACATATCAAACCGTATATCGTTGAAATCAGGTTGAAAGGGACTAATAAATAAGCGTACAATATACAGGGTGTTCCATTTAAAAAAATATAACTTCACACTGCTGCACTTTTTTGACGCACCCTGTATGCCTAAAGCTGACTTAGTTAAAAACTTTTGTCAATTTCTCAAAACTTTTGTTATTTGACACTTTTGCCAAAAACTTCAAATGAAAAAGTTAGCAGGGGGTGACATTTATAATAGATCACCCTGTACCCAAAGTTGCATCAATTTCAAATAAAGCCCCCCAGGCCTAAGATTTATAATTTTCTGTTATTTTACCAGCAACGTTAAGTTATGTGTCACTTATTCTACACGTAAAAATAGAGACAGGTATAGACTTTGACTTTTGAGCTATAACACAACTAAAAATAACAGGAGAGGATACATCATAATACTGTATTCCTTTTATACATTGAGTTACACCGAACATGTACCTCTAGAGCTCTTCGGAGTAACTCCAAAACATACAATTCGGATGTTATCATTATTATTTAATATACTAACATTACCTAAAAGGGCTTCTTGCACCCTGGCAAATTTGATGAATCAGGGAAAAGGGGGATGCACTATGAGCGAGTAGAGTGCTTAACACACTTTTAAAAGAAACGTTCAATCTTTTGACATTGAGCCTCTCCGAGTAACTCAACGGGTAAAAGGAATACAGGGCAGAGTCGCTTTTCAGTGACGAATTTTTAATACATAATCTTATTTTTCAACAGTTGTGAGTTTCTTTTTCTAATTTAAAATTATAGCAAATAGGTAAGTATCCTGTACTATGGTTGAACCAAATCCAAGCGACAATAAGGAATTTGCAATTTTTTTTCTTATTCTCCTATTAAATTCTTCACATTATAAAAAGTGACTTGCCACATAAATTTTAGATTTTCAACTAATATTTTTTCTGTAAAAAAATATAGAAATTCAAAATAATTATCTTCGCGCCAAAACGCAGTCGTAAATCAATTAAGTCACAAGACGATATCCTTCCAAGCGTCAAAACGAGTCTTTGTACTCCCTCCCTGTCTTATCCATTGTCAATTGTGTTTTATGTCATTGTTTATGCGATTTACATGTGTGGTTTATTTTGTTGTCAAGTTTCCACTCGTTTTTATTTCAATCGGTGGCTTCACCAATGAGTTAGCTATCTTTGTTTAGTGAATGGAAAATGATAATGACCGACATACAATGGTGGATCCATCGGTAGAATTTGATGTAAACACAAGCGTCTGACGGCTTACGTTTCACGTTAACATAACCACACTTTTGTTTGTTTATCGTTCGATGACGTCATAACCAATTTTAGAGCATTTTCGCGCCTATTGTTATTGAATACTTGAATAATTAATTAGTTATTAGGGGTTCAGTTTAAAGAGGATTTAAATATAGAAATATACTTCTTGAGTATTTTGCTCCACTTTAAATACATTTTCCATCAAAATAAAATTTAATGCAACTTCCTCATTAAATAACCTAAAATGCACGGAGAACATTTGATAGGTTGTAATGAAAATGACCAGTTATGCCATTACTGCCGCTAGGATTTGGTTCAACTATAGACTCTTAACTGGAATAAGATTATGCATGACGAGACTCCGAGATATTTGCGAGACTCTCGTACGAGACGCGAGACGAGACGAGACTTAAGGCTGCGAGACGAGACTCGAGACAAGACTTTTTATTTATCGGCGAGACGAGACAAGACTTTATGAAAGTCTCGTCTCGTTGGTTTCGTGGGAATCACTAATCATATGCATTGCTGCTTAATTATCAATAAGCAAATTAGTCGGCTCAGTCATCTCTTGCATTCAAAGTTCTGTAATTGTTCGACAAATCCAACAGACTTCTTGAATTCCACTTGTAGCTGCACGATATTCACCCTCTGCTGATGATGTTGAAGTTACTAAGTGTTTTTGAGCAATCCAAACGATCGGATCTCCAAATTCAATTAGTATACCACTAGCAGATATCATATCAGCCGACAATATAATAATTATGTCAACAAAAAAATACGTATACAGTGTCATTACTTAAGTGTGCAACATATGGGATTTTTTTTTACTAATAGCACAATCAAAATACAAACAAGTTGGGGCATGTCTAATAATCATATTAGGTGCACTTAGAATGGTTGCAAGTTGCAAGTCAAACAGCATACAGGGTAGCTCAAAAAATATCAAAATTGTAGTAATATTTACTTGAATAAAATAAAAGTTTTGCACTTTAAGGAGAGTTTTTTTAATATGGCTATTATGATTAGTGATGTTTTAACTTGTTAAAAAAAAATAAATTGCGACATTTTAAAGTTGTGTTCAATATCATTGCAACAAACATGCATTTTGTGATTCCATAAAAAATTGAAAATCTAAGTTAATTTCAGAAATTTGCTTGAATTCGAACAGAGTTATGTAAAATTGATTTGATTTTAATTAATTTTTGAAAGTATTAAGGGCGGAAATAGAAAATAAAAAAAATATAGAAATTATAGATTTTTTTTGAAATAAAATTAAAAAAATCTTAGGAGGCTATGTTTTGGTACACAGGCATAACTTTTAATTCCAAACAACTTTTCTCTATAACATTTTGCTGAATTTTCTTAAATAAGGGTACTTTACAGTACCAGCTTTGATATTGTTTGAGCTACCCTGTATTCTAAGTGCACCTAATATGCTTATCAGACATGCACCAACTTTTGGCCTTGTTTGTATTTGGGTTGTGCTATTACTAAAAAAAAATCCCCATATGTTGCACACTTTAAAAATCACTCTGTATAGCTAACTAATAAGTTTATTTTATAATATTATGTCGTTGAAACTGAATAAAATCTCCAACACAATAGCTGTAGAAATAGGAAAACAAATTTTGTGGTAATAGAACCTGGTAAGATTTTATGCTCTAAAGAATGCAAGGGAAAATATGATAAGCAAAATTCTGAAGAGGCAATAGAGAAAACCGTCAAGAAAGCCTAAGTATTTGGAATACAGATTGGAAAAAAAAATGAAAAAGGTAAAACAAAGAACTAGAATGCGTAAAGACAGATAACAGAGAGTTAAATCCCAAAACATCAAAAGATTATAATACAGTTGCGTTTGTGGATTTTTTCAGAAATAATTTCGTTAGCTATATTTAATAGGGCATAAAAAATCTAGAAATAATTAGAAACAAAAGTATGACGAACCTCATATTTATGATGTTTCTCTTTCTAGGAAAATTACATCGAGAATTCCACTATGGCCCAGACACAGACAGCGAAACCGAAGGACAGCCCACCAAGCCACCAGAGAGCACATTCAGAAAATTAGCGCCCTCGAAAAACCGCTACACTTTATTAAGAGACGAACTGTAGATAGGTAGTTAAATTCATTTTCGCAATGACAGTTTTTTTAAATTAATTGTTTATGTACGGGTGCTGCGATTTGGCGTGTTTTTTTTTTACAGGAAAAACATACTTCTTAGGTGTCATGGGATCGATTTCCAAGAAACACCCCAAACTGCAACATCCTGTAACTTTTTTTTGCAATTCTTGTGATTTAAATATTTACTAATTGATTTTTTGTCCACCAGTTTTAAATTATTCTTTTTTTTTTTTAATTGATTTCAATTATATTGGATTTTTATGGAAATTAAAAATTGTTATTTATGTTTATATTTTTATTTTTACAAAGTTTTAAGGCAAATACACACCGCACAAAAATTATCGCATCACTCATATTTCTAAATATTTTAACCGTGTACTTTTTTAAAAACCTTTTTTTTGGTTTAATTTATATTGCAACTTTGTAATTACATAAATCATTAATAAAATTTCTCATTTTAGAATCAATATGTACAGGGTAAATAAGGAATATCAAAAACGGGTATATTAGAATTTATATTGCATCTGTTACAAAAATTAAATTTCGAAAAATGTGGAATTTTTTGAAAAATACAGTTTTCTCAGTATCTTGTATTACCCCCCCTTGCCCTTATCACAGCCATCATTCGCCTTGGTAAGCCTTCAAACAACCTATGTATGTATTCTTGCTCCATGTTGTTCCATATTTCGTTTATTGCATCTTGAAGTTCATTGAGGGTTCTGAATGGAGCTTGACGATGCTGGATCGCCCAACCTAAGTGCTCCCATACGTGCTCTATCGGATTGAGGTCTGGGCTGCGAGCTGGCCAATTCAATATAGCAGCATTCACCTCCTCAAGATATTCCCGCACTATCCTGGCAGCGTATGGTCTGGCGTTATCGTGCATTAGCACAAAATTTTCACCCATAAAATGGCCGTATGGAACCACATGAGATTCTAGGATATCCCTTATGTATCGATCAGCAGTCATCCTACCACCATTAACAGCTACTAACTCCGTTCGCCCATGAAAAGATATTCCTCCCCATACCATTATTGACCCACCTCCAAAACTTTCCCTTTCACGAAAGTTGCATTGCTGATATCGCTCGCCTGGTCTTCGGTATACTGGCATACGTCTGTCTGAAGAGAACAAACAAAATCTGGACTCGTCTGTAAAGAGGATATTGGACCATTCTTCTAGACCCCAGCATGGTCTCTAGCAAATTGTAAACGGCAAACTCGATGTTCTCTGGTAAGACGCGGGCCATTGGCTGGAACCCTTGCACGTATATCATGCTCTCGAAGACGATTACGTACGGTCTGTACGCAAATCCTAACATTTCGGGCAGCCAAAAGGTCATTTTGGAGCATTCGGGCAGTGCAGTGTCGTGTTCTTAGGACTGAAAGTCGTAAAAAACGATCATCTAGAGCTGTTGTAATTCTCGGAGGACCTTGGCCTTCTCTTCTAGAGTACCCTCCTATGCCTTTGAACAACTCTTGAAATGGTACTCTGCTGTACACCCAATAAATTCGCCACGTACCTTTGACTTCGCCCATCTTCAATCAGCGCAATTACTCTGACGGCCTCTTCATCGGTCAAATGGCGAGTTAAACGTTGTGGGTCAGCCATAGTATACACCTCTATCGTACAACTTAATATCAAAGCAGAAAACATAGAAATGAGCAGCATAATTGCAAAGTGGAATGTATGCCTATGCGCATTATCCCGAAAAAAAAGTAAATAAGAACCTAACAAAAGAATAAACGACATGTTTTTTGACTCGAGTTTATCAGTTAAAGAATGCCCATTCAAGGAATACTTGAGAAATTTTAAAAATAAATTTACTGTAGCCAAAATATTTAAAAGCATTGGTGATGCGATAATTTTTGTGCGGTGTGTATTATAACGAGCAACGGGTATTTCATTAATTTTCGAGGAAAGTTAATAATCTCCTGAAAAGTCTTATGAATTGAAATAAATAATCTTATTAAATTCAATTATTGGCTTTCAACCACTTAAGAAATAATTAATGTATATTATGTATAGTGTAATTTGCTGTTAGATCCATTAGAGTTAGTAAAATTGTTTTTAGCTAATGCACAGCCACCAGGCTTACACCTTTTTTTTGAAAGGTTGAAATTGAATTAACAAAACAGAATTATTCAAAACTTATAATATTATATTTAGAGTCCGAATTAAAAAGGATAAAAAAAGTTGAAATAAGCACTTAAAAAGCATATAATTTTCCACAAAAAAGCATGGAATATGCATGAACAAGGCAAAAAAAGCAAAAAAATAATAGTTATTTGTTTTACTAGGCAGAAAAGTACAAGATTTAATACCTCGGCTGGTGTTTCATAGCCGAGAATAGGAAACCAGCCGAGGCATTAAATCTGCTTTTCTGCCATGTAAAACATATAATTTTTTTTCCGAATGTTCAAATTCACACATGGATATCTTTTTTTTATATTCATTTCATTCATTATTATTATCCAAATAATTGAATTATTTTGACAATTGTCATTGTCACCATCAATTTCAAAAACGAAATTGAGTGGAATTATTACCTGGAACGTTGTGATACTGTCACTTTTAATGCCTAGGCAGTAAAAGTCCACTTTTACTGCCTAAACAGTAAAAATACAACTTTTGATTCTGTCAAGTGTCATTAAAAGGCCGCTTTTACTGTCAATCGGAGAAAAAATGTATTGTTTATCTATAAAATACATAATAAAAAATATAATAAGCAAACATTGAAATAAACAAAGTCTCTAATGAATAAAAAAAAAATAGTTATTCTAGAAACAAGCAATAACTAAATGCTGACTTAAATGTTCCATAGCAAAGTTCTGTCTTCCGTCACATAAGAAGTTTTTGTAGTCGGAAAAACTTCTTTCTACGTCGACACTTGTTATGGGCGCATATTTAAATTTTGTCACCACATCTGGGTTCATTTGTAACTCTTAGGGTCGGTTTCTCAATAGCTAGTCAGATCCGGGTTGGTTTTAACTCCAAGGTAAACTTGCCCAAATGGAATGTTCACTCTAGAAATATGCTTAACCCGGGGGTGACTTGATATTGAGAAACCGGCCTTAATTTAGTACTTCCTACCTGCAGCTAACCATCTACTTTTGGGCTGGGGTTTTACGCGTATTATCGATTTTCAAAAGAGAAAATATAGCGGGCAAAACTTGCGAGACAGAAGGTTTGTTCATTTGCGATATTGATATACTTTGGCAGTACAAAAAATCTAAAAAAAAGCTGTAAATAAGCACAAACCCATAAAATAAGCATAAAATTTGAAAAAAAGCAAAATAAGCATTAAAAATAGTGCATTTTTGAGATTATTTTTGTCTAATTCGTCAATATTTTGAGTTGTCTTATATTTGCTTATAATATTAACGAAAATCATAGTGCCTTGAAATCCGGACTCTAATTATATTCAATGGTCACAATTTTTTTTGCCTGTAAAATTTATTTGTCAGATTAAATATTAACATCTAGAAAAGTTTTATAGTAAATTTTTAATTTATCCATTTTTTGCTTAAAAATTAAAATCCAAGTTTTCATTATCAATACTATTATTTACTACCGTTCAACCCAACCCAAACTGAATTGAAGTTGTGTGTTCTGTTGTGTCTTTGGTTTTGGTTACTCGTTCCACTTTGAACGTCTGAAAGCGGCTTATCTGTTAACAATGTCACCAGTGTTTATTTTCGGAATATTCGTATTAGTCAATAATGTAAAATCTTTCTTCTGAAATTTTTGGTGGAAAATCTATAGGCAAGTTTAATGTTTTGTCTTTTTTTTTATGTCACTGGGGACACAAATGACATTGACATATGATAATACGTTAACCGGAACCACTGCTGTTCCGGCATTTAACCAGAATTTTCAGTACTCTGTACCAAATATTTTACCCAACCAAAATGACGAACGGAAGTCACCCAAAAAGAGCATGTTTAGGGTATATTATTAGAATTTTCTCTAAAGTGGAATTGGCAGGAAGTTTATCCTAATGAAAAATGTTCAACTAATAGGTACTAATCAAACAATTCTCAGATACAAAAGTTAAGATCAGATCAGATCTTTTCTCAAAAAAACTACCAGTAGTAACGTAATTAAAAAAATAATTTATACTAAAAAAGTAGTAACTAGTGAATAAATTATTAAAACTAAATTAAAATCTATCAACAGGTTTGTAGAGAATTTAATTGGCTTTAATTAGAACCTTATTGCGTTAAAATTTGATAAAAATCAACGGAGCTATGATGCAAAAACTGTCTCTCAGTGTCAATTTCAATGTTCGTTAAATTCAATTTTGAAGCTTCTCTGGTGCAAAATTGTCGAAATTAGATTTAAATCTCAAATCAAAATATGCTTTATTGCCGTAAAAAAATAAATCCATTGACAAAGCCAGTAATTCCTAAATCTAAAGTTTTAAAATAAAATTAGCATAACATTAAACGAGGTAGAGTTAGGCGGTTATCACACCAGCAATACGCGACTGCAACGATACCGCGACGCAACGTAGCTTTGCAGTTTGCAGTCGCGGCAAATAGTTTCGAATGGAGACCTGCTCACCAAGGCTATGGCGACGCGATCGCAACGCTACCTGGTGGCCGATCCTCGGGCCAGGGAGTAGAGCTCCCCGATAGAACGAATGTTTCGTCCTTGTCAACGTAATCGAAAAGTGAACGAGAATGATAAAGACGAAAATTTTGTTCTCTCGGGGAGTTCCACTCCCTGGCCCGAGGATCGGCCACCAGCTAGCGTTGCGATCGCGTCGCCATAGCCTTGGTGAGCAGGTCTCCATTCGAAACTATTTGTGGAAATTAGTTACGTTGACAAGGACAAAACATGCGTTCTATCGGGAAGCTCTACTCCCTGGCCCGAGGATCGGCCACCCTGTGGTGGCCGATCCTCCGGCCAGGGAGTAGAGCTCCCCGAGAGAACAAATTTTTCGTCTTTATCATTCACATTTACTTTTCGGTTACGTTGACAAGGACAAAACATTCGTTCTATCGGGGAGATCTACTCCCTGGCCCGAGGATCGGCCCAAAGGAATGGCTCAGTCTCCTTGCGACCGTCAAGATACCTACCTACATAAAATTATTAAAATGAGCGAGGTACAAAATAACATTAGATTTGTGGAGATAATCGAAAAATATCCCTGCATATATAATTATAATTTAAGTGAATATTCCATATATTTTTCGCTTTTTTCTTAAATAATATAATGCCACTATGACTGCTTCCTCTTCACTTGACGAAGACATTTTGTTGACTGAAGTTGGTCTTTTCTACAAAATAGTTTTAATAAATATATGAAATTCGCTATGTAATTTCAGCGTCGGAGTAGCGTATCCTTGGTGTAAACTCTTCCTAGGAACTGGTCGCCGACAAGTCGCTACCCTTTGAATCTCGTCGCGGTATCGTTGCCGTCGCGTATTGCTGGTGTGATAACCGCCTTATACACATAAAATCGGAAAACAACAAAACTACCATCCAAACATCTTCAAAGGGACAACAAAAACAAAATATGAACATCGTTTGGCTTGATAAGGTTAAAAAAATACATTAAAATTAAAATTATACTGTCAATACCACACTGATTAACACTTAGTTCTTGATTAAAACACCTAAAAACGTTTACAGTTGTTACATACAGCAAGAATTAAAAATAAAAAATAAAAAAATAAACAAAACTTAAAATATATAGAAATAAATAGAATGTAAAGCGTAAATCCGACTGAAGAAAAATAAGAATGTGTCTTTTTGGCAGACAGTAAAATTTAAAATTAATCATGATCACAATATTCATTTATAGAGTAGTAAGCCCTATCAGTCAACCAATCCCTTACTTTTCTTCTAATTTTTTTAAAATTATCAACAGATTTAAATTCTGGTGGTAGCTTGTTATAGATTTTTACACTTCTATAAATAACTGAGTTTTGCGTCTCAGTTACCAGGTTGCTTGAGAATTTAATTGGCTTCAATTAGAGCACAACTACATTCAAATCTTTGAAAATTAACGTAACTGTGAGGCAAAAACTGTCTCAGTGTAATTTTTGGAAAATTTTCAATGTGCGATGATTTCAATTTTGGAGCCTCTCACGTGCAAAAATTGCATGACCAAATTAAAATCTTGATTGAAATGTTTGTAGACAATTTACGCCTTTTTAGACCTTTTCAATTAGGATTTGGTACGAAATGTGGTACGGAAGCGGCTGCCCATGCAATGCGGAGGTACCTGAATTTTCCTCTTTCTTCTGACAAAATTATTTTAAAAATTCACTATCAAAATGCTTTCAACATGGTAAATAGAAATACAATTTTAATGAAAGTCAAAGAATATCTTCCTGAATATTTTCATTTTATCTATCAATGTTATAGCGATAAAACTTTTCTTTCATATGGCAAAGAAAATATCAACAAGGAGATCCTTTGGGTCCTCCATTATTTTGTTTGGCAATTCACAGCATTGTGTCTTCTATAAATTTACTCGATTTAAATTTGTGGTACTGGTATGACGGCACTTTGTTACTGATTTTTCCTGCGCCAAAATGAAAGGAAATAAGCGTATTCGCCTCAATGAATAAAATACCTTATACTCATAATTCTCGTATTTCAGAATTTCAGGCTCCTGATTTGCTTTTTAAGCAGTGACCCTGGCTCTCTTATTGTTTTTCTTCCGATATGACTGTTGTGTTTGTTTTCGTTTAAAAAAATCAAGAATTTGAGAGCCTAGCGTCTGACATAGACAAAATTTGAGAATTATAAAATGAGTAATAATAAAAATATAACTAATAGTCAAGTCAACCCCAGGAACGACAGGAACTAGCAGCTAGCAGATAAGAATAAAAACGCAGGTGTACAACCTAGTTCTAAGCAGTTTAGCTATTGGTTGCGTTTGCAATTTTCTATGTAATTCAATTAGAGTCTGACGACGGAATAATTTGCTGTTCGAGTTTGGATGGTTCATAAAAAAAATGACGATTATTTTTTATTTGTCCAAGTTTATTTTAACACCAATAATTATATTTTGTTTACATGTATATTTACCTATATTCTATACCGATATGCATAATAATGTATTATGCATTCTCAGGTAGGTATTTAAGGAGAATTTTATTACCAAGCGATGTTTCTAATATTATGAACTTACAGCTCATTTCACAAGATATGATAGTAGATACAAGCGACAAAGTAAGTGATATAGACAGTGACAAAGATAAAAATACTCAACATTTTATTGCATCAAGTCATTATTTGAAACAACTATTACAACTAGGGAAATGAGGTTTATTACAATATAGATTTAAAAATAGTTACATAGCCTAGAAATATACTCGACAAACTGCTATGATGATTTAAAAGGTCGGTTCGCACAGAAATCACAGACCAGTCAGAGCGAATTTCATTTTCAATCAATGAAATTTGCTGTTTTGTGATTTCTGTGCGAACAGACCTAAAGACTACATTATTATTATTTTATATATGGAATAAAGCTTCTTGGAAAGACACTGTGTGTGTTAGAGAGTAGTCCAATTTTGAAAGGATTTGGATAGAATGCCAAGCTAAAAACTACTGAGGTTATAGCAAAACGATTCATTAATCTGAGATCCAAAAGTTTTTTATTTATGGCATTTCAGCTGTCAAGAAGGCTCAATCTTTTTCCACTCGTTTCCTTTATCAACTCTCATATACATATAAGAGGGCAATCCTTATATAACGGCCTATTTTCGAAGGGTGTAATGGAATATAATAGGGTACTTGCATCAATTTTTTTATTGCTGGTTTTGTTAGTCCATGAAAAATAAGTCAACACGTATTTTTTATTTTTCTTCTTAGTCAAAAATTGACGGAGATACAACGCTATGAAATATGCCTATGACGTCACTTATTATATAGATTAGTGACGTTGCACATGCTCAGTATATCTATATATACAAAACTTAATATTTGTATAACTTCGGGAATAATCATATTTGGGCGAAATAAAAAAAAAGTAACGATTTTTTTTCGATTTCCTACAGTTTGCAATAAACAATAATCAATTTAATTTTCCATGCAAGTACCTACCCTATTGGGATTAAGATTGAGCCTATTGACCAAGTAACTTCTGTGTGGATTCGACTGCCTATTGGACCTACGCAAATTCCTTTGTCTTGAGAAGCAAAAGGAAAATGAAATGGATCTATCAGGTAATGGAAAAAGACCAAAGCTTGATTATACACAGACTTTCTTTAGAGGAAAGGAAATGTCTACCCAATGTGAATTTGCAAAAATTAGTAATTTTGAATTTTAGACAGAAACCAAAGCTTCTAAAATTCAAAATTTATCAAGTTATATAGCTAATGACCATTTTATTCCAGAAATAGTTGATAAAAATACATTTTTGCTAGCTGATAAATTAAATAGTCATTCTAAGTTTATACAATTTGACAATTGAAATAAAAAAATTGAAAACAAATATTCGCAGACAACAGGTATTGTCGCTGTGCACAAAGTAGATAAAAAATGTCAAACCGAATCTTAGTCTTTTCTAAAAATGTTTTGAGCTAAAAAGCTGAATAAGAAAATTCAAATGGATACTTCCGAACAAAAATTTATGAAAGTCCAATATGATCTTTTCAATGTTTCTAAGTTGACACGGCGGTCCCGAAGAAAAATCCGCCAGTCACAAAAATCCCTGAAAACTAGTGAAAACCCTATGGAAGTTGATCCACGTTTTGACCCTGACTTGGTACTTTTTAAAAGTGTTTGTAGCATCTGCTCTCAAGTTTAAAATTTTGAAAAAGGACTTGCGATGCATATTCGTAGAGCTCATAGATATTGCCCGTTGTGTTAAATGTATCTAAAAAGTGTTGATTAAGCCGGAAGCTCATGGAAAAATGTGCAAACTCAAAAGACAGACTTTTGTTGAAATAGAAAAGGTTGAACACGTACCTAGTACTAAAGAAAAATACCCAAACTTTTTTGGGTAATCTGGGTAAATCTTTTTTTGCATTATAATATTATTTACAGTTGAAACTTACTTTTGTTTACTCTTGAGGTTGTTTTCTTTGTATCCTAGTATCTAGGAAATGCTGGAATGTTCAAAAAAGTTTCAACCAGAAATTGTATCATCAATAAAGAAGGTTTCTAATTATTATTGTCATTGAACCAATATTTAAGCCTTCTTGCAGCTGATGTGCTGAGAGGCAAGCCTTTAAGTCATCAAGTGTGACAAACTCAAACGTATATGTATAGACAAAGTGATGCTAGATTCTCCAAGAGATTTTAAGCTAATTTTGATAAGTTACATTTCAAAGACATAATATTATGAACAGTGATAAAATCCAATTTGGCACTATTCTGTACACTGTAAAGCTAGATGTGGTCCTAAACTAACTAGACACAAAGTTGATAGCAAATACTGTAGGCTTTGCAAAAAGCTTCTATTGAAAAGCCAAATCGAAGAGTGAAGATAAATCCTCAATTGGCTCAATAATACAGATAAATGATTATGGTCATAGAATAATAGAAATGTGCAAGCCTATCTTCATAAAATCAAAATGTTTGGCACAAAATATTATCGATTTCAGTCAAGAATTTGAGAACTACATTTTAAGCCGATAATCAATGATAATAGGCATAATAACCTGTAACAAATGCAAAAATACATTTGCGGTATCTAGATACAAAAAAAATCACCTAAATTTACATACAACAGTTTGTTTACATTTTGCTTCCTATCGCTTACATGTTAAACAATTCTCACCAAATGGGCCCAATTTTCTGGGCACATTTTTACACAATCCGTACAGTTTACTTTATCGCAAATTTTCTAGTAAAAATTTAACCACAGAGAAGGTGTGTATTTCCCAAATCTTTTTCACAAGATATTTCTTAATAAGGTAGGCATTGTCTTAATTATATATTATGACTCGCATAAAAGTCAATAAATAACAAAATAAATAATATACAATATGAAAATAAATTTAAATTACTAACCCTAAATACTCAATAATTCTTTTCCAAAATGATTATGGTTTGGTAGGTGTTTTGTAAGGTTTATCTTTTAGTTTTTTAGCTTAACATACAACACTATTTCTATAGTGGGTGGTCAATTTATAAACCTCTACTGTCTGCACATAAATGTGGTTACACTAACCCACAAAGGTGCAATCAACTAAGTTCGTTTCTTGTAAAAGTGGACATAAAATTCATTTATACACCTAGTTGTTATCATATCACAAAAAAAAATAATTCAAACTTGAATTGTTAGGTACTTGATTTAGTTTGGAGAGTTAGTGAGTAGTAATCATGGGATTATAGGGTAGTCCAAAAAAAAAAAAAAACCGAACGAAATGAACAGGTTAACGAATCAAAGTGAAACTTTTGACATTTGGAAAGATCACATTTGACACTCGTAGATTTTTATTCAGAAGTATCTGTTTGAATTTTCTTGTTCAGCTTTCTAGCATAAATATTTCCCACTTAGTTTTTAACCTATTTTTCCTTTTGAGGTCTAGAAATGTTCGCAAAATAATAATCTTTAGAATTTAGTAAAAACGTTTGATTCATTAGCCTGTTCATTTCTCTTTCAAACAAGCCAAAATAAAAAGAAATTGGTCAACATAAAAAATGTTACAACTCAAAAACATAATTATGTTTTTTTTTTTTGGAAAACCCTATATACTTACCAGAAAATATTTTTTTAAGAACTTAGCAATGCGAGACCAAACTTATCAATTTGCCAGTATTGGTTGGTTCATTCGAGTTAAAAATACATTATTTTATAGAGTAGGATCCTTTTTACTAAAAAAATTGTATCTACTTCATTTCGATCCCGTTTTCAGAAAATCTGGGACACAAAGTTTGATCGTCCATATCCGAAATAACTTGGGCCTGTTCCCTAATCATTAGGTCATATTGGCCATTACGATGGGTTTTTTCTGGTCCTCTGAGGCCGTGCTTTCTTATGAAGCCCACCACCACGTCGGGGGCGACTTTAGACATTTCTAAGCGATGGCCCCAGGTCACTAATGCTAGAGGCTGCAAAAAAAAAGATAAGTATTACAAAATTAACCTAATATTAGAACTATATAGAACAAAAGAAAAATTATTATTCTTACCCTTGTTGGTGTCAATAAATTATATGGGGTTATTACATGCCTATAAAGGCAATTCTTGACAATTTTTCTCAATATATTAATTTCGTTCATGTTGGCACAAGGATGATATAGCATCACTACTGCTCCGTGTTCCAAGTTGTGTAACCATCTTTGTCGTGGTAGGAAAGTGTATTCTCCATAGACTGCCCATAGAGGCCTATGGGTCCCACTGGAAAAAGAATATACTTATAGTAAATATAATATACTTATATCCTGGAGACTCTTTCCAATTTATTAAAATCGATTAATGTCAAGCAAATAATCTAAAATTATTTTGATAAGACTTTTTAAATCTAGACATCATGTAAATCAAAGATTTACATTTTTCTAGCAACTTATGAAAATAAACTAGAGAAAATGCCAAAGTTAAACCTCTTATAATTTCAGTCTTTTTATATTAATATTGTCAACTAGCTAAGGAGGGCCTGGTATTCAACCTTATTAATTTAATTGCCGATTTATTTGGATGTTTATTGCAATTCAGTAAAAAAATTCATATAACTAGCGGGCCAAGCCGAGCAACAGACAGATTTGAACCAGCGCCACCCTGGAAACACCCCTCTGGAGTCAAGTCTCCCCAGTGCAACTACCGCCACCCTGGAAATGCCCCTCTGTATGAAAATCAGTTGAACATCGATTAGTATTCAACATAACATTATTAACATTAAATCGACATTCCTAAGTAGCGTCAAACGTGTGGCCCTATCCACGGAAGAGCATGCCTCCTGGAGGATTTATGTAATGACTTCATAGCAAATATACATATTTTTATAATAACCTGAGCGAGTTTCTCTCCATCTATCCACCCCCCATCACGAAGAGGTTGTGACAATATAAACATGGTGCCTTCTAACATAATTATTGGCAGCTCTAATAGCCGTTTGCACTGACCATTTTAAGGAAGCCTTAACGATAAGTGTTCCTTAAAATGACATTTCTCCATGTAAAAATGTAATTTTGAAGAATACTTATCGTTAAGGCTTCCTTAAAATGGTCAGTGCAAGCGGCCACAAGCCACCACAGAAAAAATCAATTTGATTTTGGTCTCTAAATTAGAGGCCTCTTCCACCCTTTAACAATGCAAAACAATTTCCTCTAATTCATGTAACTTCGAATAATATTATGTAATTGGAATTATTCTTATCAAATATGTACATTAATTTTCCTAAAAAAATACCTACGTCATCTAAAATAAAAAAAGTTCAATACTTACAAGGTAGGTATAATCTCATCATACTCAATTGACTCGTTCATACACTTGTGTGGTGCCTAGAAAAACATCTTATTTAGGTATTCACTACATTGGAAATTAACTCGGAAAAAAATTAATTATTATCCAAACAAGTCCCAGTGTGAGAATCGGAAAATTGTTACTTTCAAAAAAATTAAACCAAATAATATATTCTTCAAAAAAAAGTTCCAAAATTTAACATTTCTATACTTAGGGCTATTGATATTCCACACTTCAACTCTTTTTTTTTTAGATTTCAAAGTGCTTCTGGGTGGATACTACTTTCTTATATTTTCTAAGCTATAGCAACAATGTCTATGTATTTTTTAAAGGTAAATTTAAAAGTAATTTACTTACACTATATTCTTGGGGAATGTGTTCAACACTATGAATAGGGTGGACCGTTGCTTGAGGTAAGAAAAGACTTCTATTTTCAAAGCATGTATAATTTTCTACATTGTTGAACCAGTCCATTTGAAGGTTTAGCTGAAAATAAACACAAAATTAGATCATCCAAATTTTTGACTAGCATAAATAAATCTGCAAAATGTGACGGATTTTTTTACACTAATGTTTAAAATTTGTAACTGAATTGTTGCAAAATAAGTCTCAGGGTTTCAATTCAATTCATAAAAACACACACTAACATCGGACATGGCCAACTTATCAATAATTAACAGGAACGGAAATAATCTTATCCCTATCAGTCAAAATTAAATTATTGCAACTACATCTTTTCAATACTGCTAAATGCATGAGGTTCAACATGATGTCGAGCTATTGTAGTGAGTAAACAAGTGTATGGCAGTACCAATTTTCAATAAAAAAACACTTGAAGTTTATAAAAGTATACACTGCTCAATATGACAACAAGATGATTAGGACAACAAGATGAAAAGATCGAAGCTATTGTGAATGAGAATATTATTGAAAAGTTTAATCAAACATGAATGTCCAATTCAATTACTGAAATAGCTGAAAAAGTCCAAGTGCAGCTGAACGAAAAATGAAATATTTCTGAAGATAGATTTACTAAATTGGAAACTGAAATTAATTTATTAAAAGGATCCAGCACACCTCTCATGGGTTTTTGGTTTCCTGCCAAACTCAATAAAATTTTGATATGTGTTAGACCTTGACTTCCTGATAAAAAGTTCTTATGGGCCCAAACCAATCCTATAACTAGTTTTTGAGATACAGGTAGTTTGGTGTCCAAGAAATGTACACATTTTATATGCATTTAGATCTACCTGTCACCTAACAATATAGGATGGACAGGTATTCTTACGCTCAGGTGACAGGTAGACGTAAATGCATATAAAATTTTTACATTGCTTGGACATTAAACTACCTGTATCTCGAAAATTATTCATATTATCGGGTTAGGCCTATGAGAACTTTTTATCAGGAAGTAAAGGTATACCACATACCAAACCTTCATTGAGTTTGACAGTAAACAAAAACCCATAGGATGTATGCGGGGTCCTTTGAAAAAAAAAGGACAGATCAGTTCCGAAGAAATAAACTTAAGGCTCTTTGGCCAGCTGAGAACTGTAAAAAAACTTTTTCTGGAAAAGCTGAAAGTGAATTTCAAAATTAAAGGTCTTGAGGAAGTTTTCAGACCTGGAAAAAAAGGAAAACAACAAAAGCAAGTTTTGGTAAAATTTGCAAAGGAGAAAGTCTACAGGTACAAAAAGTTCCTAAAAGGAACTAAAACAACAATTAGGGAGGACCTAACCAGAGACAAAAGAGAACTTCTGAAACTGGCTGTGGAAGAATTTGAAAGGAAAAATGTCTGGACTCAATCGGGTAAAAGATATGTCTTTGTTTATAACAAAAAACAAGTTATTGACAATATTGAATCACTAAATGCTATATAGGGTGGTCCACAAAAAACGGGATTTATTTTCTTGAGCTGTAACATTTTTTTTTTTTGTTGAGCAGTTTAGTAATATTTACTTAAATAAAATAAAACTTTTGCACTTTAAGGAGAGTTTCTTTAATATGCATACTATCATTAGTAATGTTTTAACTTGTTAGAAAAAAAATGTGACATTTTAAAGTTGTGTTGAATGATGTGATGAATTTTGTGATTCCATAAAAAATCAAAAATCTTAGTTAATTTCACAAATATGCTTGAATTTGAAAAAAGCTATGTAAAATTGATTTTAAATAATAAATGAAAAAAAAAATCTCAGGAGGCTATATTTTGGTATTTAGTAGAGATGTAACGTGAAAAAAAACAATCCGTTTTTTTTGTTTTTTTTTTCAAGTTTTTTTTCATGGTTTTTTTTCAAATGGTTTTTTTTTTTCAGGTTTTGTGTTTTTTTTTTCTAAACTTAGCACCACATGCGAATTTTTTACTTTATTTGCCAAATAAACTTTTCTTGGGATAAAAAATTGGTTTAAGCAGTGAAGTATATGGATAAAACGTAAAATATTGCCTTATTCTATGTAGAAATAACATAGGAACAATATTGGGTCTGTTTCTGCAGAAATCACAAACCAGTCAGAGCGAATTTCATTGGTTGAAAACAGTCAGAAGCAGTCAGAAAACTAATTTCAACCAATGAAATTCGCTCCGACTGGTTTGTGATTTCTGCAGAAACAGACCTATTCTTATATAAATGAAACATGTTTTTAGATCAAGTACATGGTACATCCATGTATGAACTATCATATTATATCAGATCATACATTCATCATATTTATACAACATACATACTAGAACAGAACATCACTGATATAAGACACTTTCTCTGTATGAAAATTTTCAGACTGTAACTACGTCTCCAGGGTCGTCAAATATCCGTTTTTTTTTACTTAAAGATGAGGTTGGAGATACTCATGAAGTTTAAAATTGAATTATTTTGGAAAAAAACACAAAAACCTTTTTTTTTTAGTTTTTTTTCAAATCTGAAAAAAACCTGCTTTTTTACATTTGAATCATTTAGAAATAAAACAAAAAAAACGTTTTTTTTTTAAATCTGCACATTACCTTTCCATCATCGCAGCTACTATCAACAACCCCCATAGCAATTCCATGATGTGCATCATATAAGTTTTTGGTATCGCTGATTGCCTGGTTCGAATCCTGTTCACCAGGTCCATGGGGAAACCATCTTCTGTGCCAGGGTTCGTCATAGGGTCGTAGAGCTACAACATTGAATAAAATCATTCTACAAACTACAACATGATTTGTATAATTGATATTGATATGAAGGTATAGGTATCATTGTTTGATTATTTCACCATGATTTCTGGTTTTGGTGAAATCAGTTCCTACTTTCACCGCATCTTTATATGAGAAGAGTCAGGGAAACAGCCGCCAAACTGTTGTTTGGTAGGTACTGTTTATATACAGGGTGGGCCAACGAAAACGAAACAAGGTCGATATCTCGTATTCATCGTTCATTGAAAAAAATCGCTCGGACCCGTCGATTTTTATTCGGAGGGGGAAATATTTTGCACATATTTTCAATGTTGTCACTTCAACCCTCTCGCGGGGGTAAGCTCCAACCCTTAAATCTTAAATGGCAGTAGGGGTCAAGCGATACCTCATTTCAAAGGTCATCGAATTCTCTTTTCAACAGTGCCTATTTTTTTGAATTTGATGCAGTGGTTTTTGAGAAAACTCATTTAAAAATAGACGGAACTAGTACTGTTTTATTCATTTTGAGCACTATCAATTTTGTAGTTATAACAATTTTTACTTAAGAAGTGATTTTATGTGTTTTTTTTTTTTAAAGTCGTGTGCTATCCAACTTGAAATCACAAGGTTAAAGTCGAGTTTTTTTCATCACTGAATAAAATTCAACTAAATACATTCTAATTTTAAAAATCTTTTGAAAAAAAAAACTCAGTAAGTAAATTCAAATAACTAGTTACCGTTGAAAAGAGAATTCGATGACCTTTGAAATGAAGTATCGCTTGACCCCTACTGCCATTTGAGATTTAAGGGTTGGAGCTTACCCCCGCGAGAGGGTTGAAGGGACAACATTGAAAATATGTGCGAAAGATTTCCCCCGGGATTTTCCCCTTCAAATAAAAATCGACGGGTCCGAGCGATTTTTTTCAATGAACGATGGATACGAGATATCGACCTTGTTTCGTTTTCGCTGGCCCACAATGATCTTGTCTTGTACACCCACACTTGTAATATGCTACCAATGTGTGAACACCTATGTTTTTAAGCAGAGACTTAATTGAAAAGGTCCAGAAAAGGTTGTTTAGATTCTTTTATGGTAAAAAAAACAATGGTTATCCTTTTTTAGTATCTTACTGGTCGATGCTCTCAGGCTATGAATTCCAAACATTGGAGAGTAGAGGAAAAACACAGGCTGTTATACTCAAACTCACTCAAACTCAAAATGTGCTTTATTGTGTAAATATGAATATTTGTTCACAAAAGCTGATCCTAGGTCTAAAAAATGAAGTATACAGTTGTAAATCTTTGGTTGTAGTAACAAAAAATATCTAAATGTATACATACTTAAAATAGAAGACCTCACAAAACATTTAAGATATAAAAATCAGTATAAAAAATAAAACTTAAAAGTAAGAGTCATACAAATAAAACTTTAAAAAAAACTTTAAATAAAACACAACAAATGTTTCTATTCAAGAACCAGAGAAATAATTAAAAAATGTATAATTTAAAAGAACAGAGACCATTTTTTACATTGAGGGCGATAAAACGTCTTGTACAAAACTAATATTGAACACATATAGCAGGGGTAACAAAAACAGATAAAAAAAGAAAAAATAAATTACATACAAGACCATATAAAATCAAAAAGCATCAAGCAGCATCAAAAAAGTCTTCAATACCATAATAAGTTCCCGCAAGTAGCAGTTTCTTTACCTCCTTCCTAAATTTAACTGGAGTGAAAATCGATCTAATTGACTGTGGTAAGTTATTAAACATTTTCTTGCCATTATATATAATCGACTTTCTTACCAACTCGGAAGAGGGAATTGGGAGGGAAAGTTGATGTTGTTGTCTAAAATTTTACGCGCGTTCAGCCCCTAACTGATGTTTGAATTTCTTATGTACAAGACATACACTCTCCAAGATAAACAGCGATGGAAGGGTCAGAATTCTATTGTTTAAAAATAAAGGCCTACACGAGTCCCGCATTCTGGCCCTGAACAAATAAACTAGTCAAATCGAAATAAGGACCACTTTCAAAAACACCTTTATTTTTATTAAATCTTGGAAAACCTTGGTAGAGTGTTTATTTACATTAACAATATAGCTAAACAAATAAATTGTGCACAAAAAATTTTGTTTTATCAGATGAATCCCTTTTTTTTTTCATAAAAAGATACCTATTCTTTGAGAAATGTTCATAACCATTGCGGACAATAGTAGGTGAGTTTATGTCTAATTTTGACTCCCTAAATTCATGAATCATGAATGTCGATGCATTGGGAAGACCTATTCGTCAAAGAAGACATTTGAATCAAATGGAAGTAATCCGAGCAGTTACCTTACATCAAGAAGGTTTTTCCATTAGAAGTATTGCTCGAAGACTTCAAACCAGTCATTCAGTAATATCGAGGCTTATAAGCAGACATGGAGAGTTTGGCCTAGTCACAAGAAGACCTTATCCTCCAAGAGAAAGGGCAACAAGCAGCACGTGAAGACCGTAATTTGGTGAGATGGGCTATGTAAGATACAGCAAGGGCAGCGCAGAACATTGTTGGTCTCCATTCTATTGCCACAGGAAGGCGAATATCCACACAAACTGTGAGGAACAGACTTCAGGCAAGTGGTATGCGGTCCAGAGTTACAGCTGTGAGACCACAATTGACCCGAGCACACCGAATTTTTGCTGCAATCATTCAAATTGGAATATGGATCAGTGGGGACACGTTTTGTTTACAGATGAGTCCAGATTTAGACTAAGCCACAATGATGCCCGTTTACGAGCTTGGAGACGTAGAGGTGAGCGATATCAGAATCGAAATGTGAGGGAAACCGTTCATTTTGGAGGTGGCTCTATCATGGTCTGGGGTGGTATTTCTTTAACGGGGCGCACCAATTTATATGTGTTTCATAGGGGCAATCTAAATGCTCGTCAGTATTTAGAGGACATTATACAACCCTATATATTGCCATTTGCCGACGAGTAAGGCCCTTAATTTATTTTGCAACATGACAATGCGAGACCCCACACTGCCAGGATAGTTACCGACATCCTCCAGGAGCAAAATATTGAGGTTTTGGAGTGGCCAGCAAACTCTCCAGACCTTAACCCTATCGAACATCTCTGGGATAATCTCAAAAGAAGGATTAGGAATCGCCAGCCCCCCCAAAATTTGGAGGAGCTTGAAGCCATACTCCAGGAAGAGTGGCGTAACAGAAGGGATACAATCAGCAATTTGATTGAATCTATGCCCCGTCGGTGTACAGAAGTCGCACGAGCTCGAGGAGGCTATTCCCATTATTAAGTACTCATTTTTAGAAGAAATAAATAAATTTTGGTAAATCTAGAAATTATTTTTTTAAAAGTTTTTTAGTAATCATTTAATAAGTTTGTTTAAAAATTAGATTTTTTTTACCTTTCTTTAAACGTTAATGTTTTGTCATTATGCTGTAGTTTCCATTAGAAAAAAAATCAGAATTCAGAAGAATAAAAAGTAATTATAAAAGTGGTCCTTATTTCATTTTGACTAGTTTATCTGATAGCTCGCTTTTGCAAGACAAACACACTCTGAAACACTTGTCAGGAACAAGTACCCCAGAAACAAATACCGTATCACAAATGAGATTCAATCAGGGCGAAGTAAGCATTTCTGACGATTCCCACATCCAATTCACCTGACAATACCCTTATTGCATAACAATTGGACGCCAATCTATTCTGTAAAGAAATTATGTGTGATTCAAACTTCAAGCAGTTGTCAATGAAAATTCCCAAAAATGTATTTTCTGTCAAGTTTTTTAGTAAAGAACCATTCAAAAAAATATCCCTCAAATTGCAGCCAAATCAGAATTATTTGGAATGTTTTTTGACAATGAGGCAGCAACGGAACAAAAAAAAGTTGTTCATATCTCCAGCTGATAGGCTTATTTATTTATTTTATTTTGAATAATTAGTAGATACCTACTTATATTAATTATTTATTTATTTTTATTTTATTTCAATGTACCTCCTTTATTGTCCAAGATAGAGAGTTTATTCTCATAGAATTTGAAGTTCCAAAAGTGAATCTGCAATTTCTATAAAGAGAGATGTGTTCACCTCGGTGTTCACACATCAGAAAAGAAGTTAATCTCGGTCTAAGGTTTATCTCCTATACCTAAATAACATGTTAGAGAGTTAGTGTGACGACTTTCCATTATTATTTGCCTCATCATGAGAGTGGGTGAAAAATCTAATCCTTTTTCGACTTTTCACTTGTGTCCCTGCTAAATTCTACAAGTTTGTGGTACACAGGAGTCACAGGACATGCCACTGTACTCAGGGTTGGATGAACCCACCGGGATACCGGGAAATTCCCGGTGGGCCGATCCGAGTGTGGGCCGATCTTTAGAAATACAGGATCTTTATCAAGATACCTTCAAATCAGGGTCTAAGATCAAACAGATATTTATTTATTTTTATTTTATTTCAATGTACCTCCTTTATTGTCCAAGATAGAGAGTTTATTCTCATAGAATTTGAAGTTCCAAAAGTGAATCTGCAATTTCTATAAAGAGAGATGTGTTCACCTCGGTGTTCACACATCAGAAAAGAAGTTAATCTCGGTCTAAGGTTTATCTCCTATACCTAAATAACATGTTAGAGAGTTAGTGTGACGAGTTTCCATTATTATTTGCCTCATCATGAGAGTGGGTGAAAAATCTAATCCTTTTTCGACTTTTCACTTGTGTCCCTGCTAAATTCTACAAGTTTGTGGTACACAGGAGTCACAGGACATGCCACTGTACTCAGGGTTGGATGAACCCACTGGGATACCGGGAAATTCCCGGTGGGCCGATCCGAGTGTGGGCCGATCTTTAGAAATACAGGATCTTTATCAAGATACCTTCAAATCAGGGTCTAAGATCAAACAGATGGCCTCAATATTATGAAAGCACAAAGAATATGATCGTCAATTCAACTTATGACGCACTCAGGAACAAGGCAACTGAAAGAAGTATGAAGTGCTAAAAATATTTTGCAATTGGGCAAATGCAGGACTGGAAGCAAATGAAAGTGATGCAATAATTCAGGACTCATTATCCGCAATTTGTTCTCGTAAAAAAAAAAGATGCCAGGGATGTAAGCAGATGATACTCCTTCAGCTTCAGCTACTACTATTTTCAAATTTGAGGTGCAAGTATACGATGTAACCATGAATAACAAAAATAGAGGCATCTTTTTCGCAACACAAATATTTATATATTTGTGCTGATTTTTCATGTTTGGATCCAAACAATTTTTCGTAACTAGTGCCAGACTATGCTTTTTTTTTTTTTTTTTTTTACGGATATGCGCACTCGCAAGGACAATGTCCTATCACGCTCGAGAAGCGGCAAGTGCGCGGAAATGTCGGTGTATGTTGGTCTTGAAACGGTTCAGGTTGTAACCTGCAGGGAAAACCGTCGCAGGGAGTTTATTCCACAGCGATGCTGTTCTCCAGAGATATGAATTCTGATATAATGAGGTTCTTGGTGCCTCTAGTTTGACAGTAAATTCATGGTTACCGTCTGTTTGACGGGTTCGCCTGGTAGGTGCTACTCTCGGTGGAATCATACGTGCCAACTCTTCAGAGCATTTTCCGTGATAGTACCTGTAGAAGAGAGATAAGTCGCCCACAGATCTGCGATGTTCGAGACCATCCAAGTTACGAGTAAGTGCGGGGTCATTGATCAGCTTGATAGCTCGTTTTTGCACGGTATTCAAAAGCATTAAGGTATGTTTGGGTGCAGCACTCCATATATGTGAGCAGTACTCCATAGTTGGTCGAATCTGGGCTTTGTAGAGTGTCAGCAATTGGCTTGGTGTGTACAGATGTCTTGTACGAAATAGCACCCCCAGCTTTTGGGAGGCCCTTTTAGCAATATCTGCCACGTGACTGTGCCAAGACATGTTCGTCTCTGCAGTAACCCCCAAGATGTTCAACTGACTCTGTAATGTGACAGCACTTCCAGATAGCATGATGTTTGGCTCACCGGTGCTGGTCTTTTTTGAAAACAGAGCTGCTTGGGTTTTCTGCGCGTTGAACTGTACAAGGTTTTTGTTACCCCAGTCCTCTATTATCTCCAGGTCGTTATTTATCTGCGATATTTGAGTTAGTCTAAGATGATGGAATTCACGTGCGGAAAGACCTGTGGGTGGTATGAGTGAGGAGACTACATTCCCATCGTCTGCAAAGCAATAAAGTGGATTTACTGTTTTATCTATGAGGTCATTTATGTAAATCAGGAAAAGAGTTGGCGAAAGGATTGCTCCCTGTGGCACACCAGCATTTATTTGGTAAGAGTTGGAGTTCTGGCCATCCAGTGCAACATAAATGGATCTGTCCTTTAGGTAACTTTCAAACCAAGTGCAAAGTTTCGGCGATAATCCCATTGCTTTGAGCTTGTTGAGCAGATTTTCATGCCAAACTTTGTCGAATGCTTTAGATATATCTAAGGCAATTGTTCTTGTTTCACCCCGCAACTCAATCGCTTTTTGCCATAAGTGAGTGACGTATGTAAGTAAATCGCCAGTTGACCTATATTTTCGAAATCCGTATTGCTTATCGTTGATAATTTTGTACTTTTCCAAGTACTTGGTTAGGTGATTGTTCACAACTCTTTCCATTACTTTTGATATCACCGGAAGTAGAGCAATTGGTCTATAGTTTAACGGATCTGTCTTTTTTCCTTTCTTTGGAATGGGTTGTACTGCGGCAGACTTCCATGATGATGGATATACTCCTTGCCTGTAAGACAAATTGAATAATTTTGCGAAAGTTGGGGTGAGTTCGTTGGCGCAATTTTTGAGTACTATTGCGGGAATGCCATCCGGACCCATTGCTTTGTTTGTATCCAGCTTTTTTAGGGATTTTCGTATTTCTCTGTGACAAAAGGGTACCTCTGGCATACTATGGGAAACCCTTTCAATGAACGGTGGAGTTTTTCCGTTTGGCACTGTTAGGTTGGAGTTGGAGGAAAACATTTGGGCAAGCATATTGGCTTTTTCCTCTGATGTTGTGGCTAACTGATTATTTTTATCTGTAAGTGGTGGTATGGATGACTTGGTGAAGTTAGATCCAACAGCTTTTGCAAGAGACCAAAAAGACCTAGAACTACTTGGACAATTCAGCAACCTGTTTTTTATTCTTTGATTGTATGTTTCTTTAGCGGAGTCAATAGTAATTTTGCAACTATTTCTGGCTTCTATAAATTCTGTGTGGTTTTGAGCGGTTTGCTGTCGTTTCCAAAGGTTATATGCTCTGTGTTTTTCCTGTACAGCCGTTTGACACTGGCTGTTGAACCAAGGTTTTGCATTAGCTCTACGTTTAGTTGTATGTGGGATATATGCGTCCATTCCAGATAAGATTACTTGTGTTATTTCATTACAGCAAATAGTGGGTTCAGCTGTTTTAAAGCAAACCTCTTGCCATGGAAAATCCAGGTAATACTGTTTTAGGTCATTCCATTTTGCCGATTTATAGTGCCACATTTTACGAGGAAGTGGTTGTAGGCTTGGTGGGATGAGCATTTCGCACTTTGTTATTATAAGTTTATGATCGGACGAACCAAGTGGAGTCTCTACTTGAATTGTGTACGAGTCAGGATTGGTGGTTAGGAACAAGTCTAGAAGCGCTGCAAATTCGCCCCTTTCTGAGATACGTGTAGGTTCATCGACAAGCTGCGTTAGACCACAACTTATGGCAAAAGCTTCTGCTTCTCTGCCTTCGTTATCTGTTTTATTGTGGTGTTTCAGCCAGGGTATATTGTGGACGTTGAAATCGCCTAAAAAGACAATTTCCGCCTGTGGATAGTTTGACTGTATACTATCACAGCTTTCGGATAATGTCGCGAAAAAGTTTTGGTACTCGGTGTTAGATGGCGGTCGGTAGAGGCAGCAGATAAACTTGGTCGATGACTTTGAGGTGAATTTTAGCCATATGATATCAAGGTTCGCTGGTTCTAGCTTCTCCTCTCGATGACATGAAAGGTCATTTTTAATGTACACACAGATCCCAAAATTATGTCGAAATCGGTGGTGTAGGTCATAGCCGGGATAAAGATAGTTCACAATAGGTGTTGCAGAACTGATTTTAGTTTCAGTGAGAACAAGGATGTCAGGTCTTTGTTCTTCAAGATGTTGGTGAACTGAATTCATATTTGTACTTATTCCTCTTATATTGCTAAAATCAATTCTGAGTTGAGTTTTTGATATTCTCTTTATATCTTTGCATGAAGGACCCCCAGGATCACCCGACGCCCGGAGATCCGAGTGGTCGGGTATTTTACCTCCGGAATATTTTGATCCTGGAGGCGCCATCATGCTATCTGTTACTCATTGTTGGAACCGGACTGCCAGCGCAGTAGCGGAACGTGGTGATACCACTTAGCGCTACTCAATTCTGCTTTGAATGTAAATGACACAAAATGACACAGGGTTGTATGCAAAGAATGAATTAGAACTTTCTTAAAAAAGTGTTCATCGCACATTCACGTTGCAAACAAATGTTTTCCATGCTTGCAATCATCTTTAAGGCCTATGAACTTCAATAAAGACATCTTAGGATTGTTGACTTTCAAAAAGATTCTCATGAAAATGTTTAACTTAGGCTTCTATTAAAAAAAAAATATTATCATTTTGATTGTTTGAAATAAATAAACCAAAGATGTAATATGAGAGTTATTTTTTGATCTTTTATTCTGCGTTTTCATTCAGCATGTATTGTTTCATCACGGTTGTTATTAGATTATATCTAAATGTGGAGATGTGCCCCATAAATCCATCAATGTATGGGCCACTGGACTGAAATTTCCCGGACCACTACCAGAATTTCGTCCAACCCTGACTGTACTTGATGGTATTCAATAATCATTACAGTGTCTGTTTGGAAGTATGCAGTACTACAAACAGGTTTTTACTGAAATATATGTTTCGCCAGTGTCAAGTAGCTATCTAGTTTATTTGTGTACTTCACATGTAATAACCATCCTCCTGTTTGTAAAGTTTTGCATAATTAAAATAAAAACAAAACTTAAATCTCTGTTGCGGTTTGGATGTAGCTTTGAAATATCTGGCTGTCTAGTGTCTACTAACTACTGTTAGTATAGTCATAGCTTCCTCATGTTATGTAGGCACATGGTAGTGAATGAATATATGGTAAGATAGCAAGGTTGTTTGTTCTAAACATTTAATAAACAGATAATGCAACTTACCTTTAGCAGAAACGATGGTCATACATAAAACAACAATATTCTTCAACATAATGATCAAGGGTGTAACAACAAAAATTGAAAGAAAAATTATAACAGCAAACTGAAGCAACGAAAACTTACGATTACACCGGCATAACGAGAAAATTGTGAAGATATTTTGCTAGTTTTGCGGCATCAATTAATTCCTTATCATTATTTGGATTTTAACCCAGATTACATTTATTTGAGGATCTCAATTTTATGTTCACCCAGGTCCCACAAAACAAAACACAAAATCTCAAATCAGCTGTTTTTATTTTTTCCCATATCCCATTCATCATATAAGTCCTATAATGGTGAACAATACATTTTTATTCTTTTCTTTTACATGCTGGTAGAGAAAGACATAAACATTGCACACTATTACCGAGATATTTGAACAACCTTTTTGAGGAAAACTGTCAACTACTGAACCGACCATAGATACTAGTTGAAGTCTTATCTCGCTACCGCTAGATGTCACTGAGTGTAAATAGAGTTAGATTTTTCAGACTTGAAAGGGAGCCTCCAGCCACACTAAGTATTCAATCAAAAATTAATTAGGTACATATTTTGAAAAACGGCAAAATCTAATTACAAATCATGAAAAAAATTAATCTACTATTACATAGCACAATAGCATAGCAAATTACTTTAGCTAATGCGAAAAGGTTCTGAACACTTTTGTTTTGAAGTTTTGCGTATTCCCAAAATTTTTCTACGTATCCGTATCCGCATCCGTAAACGCATCGCCTAACGTTGATTTCCTAAAACTCATTTTAAGCATGGCTATACATTACGTAAACGATCGTATTCTTGCATGAAATGTTTTCTAACCTCGAAAAGTGTTGTGTTGATTTTTTAGCTGTGTTTGTAGGTTTTCTTTTTATCTATGAGTATTGTACGTGTTTATGTTGGTAAAGTTATTTTAGTGAAAACTGACAGATCTCTAAATAGTGTCAAATGGTTGAGATACGTTTTCGGATACGGATACGCGGCTAGGGCTGTAACGATGCAGATACGGATACGTTTGAAATTTAGCACCTGCTTAAAGTGTCTATTTTCCCGAACCCGAACCGTATTCGGCCCGGTAACGTAATTGTTCCGACTCATGCACTAATGCCTCATTCTCACTAGTGCGAAGATCGCTCTTTTTGCACGAAATTCGCTCTTTTTTTGACATTGCTTCGACAATTTGACGTCTTAAGCCCGGGACACATCTATCATACATTCTTCCGATCCGACTCCGATCATACAATCAGGGTCCTTATTCTTGGAACAGAGAGCAGTGCTCCCAGTTGTTCTCCTGGGAACGCTGCTCGCCTATTCCAAGAATAAGGACCTTGATTGTATGATCGGAGTCGGATCGGAAGAATGTATGATAGATGTGTCCCGGCCTTTATACGTGTATTAAACGTCAAATTGTCAAAGCAATGTCAAAAAAGAGCGAATTTCGCGCAAGTGAGAAAAGTTTTAGAGTTTTAGGCAACTGGAGAAAAAATGGATACTTTTTTTTTTCAATGCTATTCGGCAACACTGTCCCTGTGCGAAGACGCGAGGAAAGTGGATGGGGTTCGACTTCGACCGACCGTGGGATCAGAGATAAAACGCGCGAAAACTTCGTGCTAAAACCTTTTTTTTCCAGATCGAAATTGAAAAATCTGACTCCGTTAGGTTCTAGCCAATATCCCAAAAAACAACTATTCCAAATTTGAGAATTCTAGCTCAAGTAATAACGCAGAATGGATTGGAAAGACAAAACCCCATAAACAAATTAAACAATTATATATAGGCAGTAGCGTGTCAAATTTTTTGGGCCCCCTTGCGAACTTTTTTTTGAGGCCCCCTATGTCACTATTATATTTTCCAAAAATAACCCATTATAGTAAATATTTATACACAATATCATTACTAATAGTTAAAAAACACAGCGAATTTTTGAAACTAAATTTATTTCTATAAATTATTATATGTTATTATAATATAGGAGGGATTATTGAAAAGTTCTAAAAAAAATGTTCTTCTAATATAAAGAAAACATACAACAAATATTTAACTAATAAGTACAAAGATATGGAATTTAATATTCTGAATATCAACTCAAAACTCAAACGTAACAAGTGAAACAACAAAAACTCGCTAATAACCGGAAATTCATTTGAAATGTTTAAATGTGCATATTTGTATTTTTGGAGTTTGTTTATATATACATAGCTATTACTTTTTTTTTAGAGTATATTGGGGGCCCCCAATATACCGGGAGCCCCCCCGCGTGGCGGGGTCTGCGGGGCCGTTTGACACGCGCCTGTATATAGGTACATTTTATTTTATTTGTCTCTATAAACGCCAATGCATTAATTATGTATTTGTTATTTTACCTTATGTTATCTTATTTTATTTTATTTGCTGTATAAATCCAGCTTAATACCTATTGAAAATAAAAGGGGATTTTTTGGAAATATATACAGGGTGACACTTTAAAAAGTAGCAATCGGGAATATCTCTTAGACAAAAAAATACTATCAGGAAGATCTCAAATACATATCTGGGGATTCAAGAAGGTACCAAAATGAGCCACTTATTCTGATTCACTTTGCCTCACCTGGTTAGGGGGAAGCTATACCGTAACTTATTTTTTGTCAAATACGAACCTACCTTGTGTTGCACATCGTTGGATAGCTCGTTGCTTTTCTTTTACAGTCTTATAGCAAAATCTTAAATCGTACGATTAGTTTTTGACATATCGGTGTTTAAAAATAAGCATATTTTTAAAACTACCTATAATTCTGTCATAAAAGTGTCAAATACACATCGGAGAAACCAAATGTGTTTATTACCTAATCCCTCTACCCCTCCTGTCTTGGAGACTTGCCCCCTTAATGATTTTTCTACAATGAGAAACTACCCTGTGTGATACCTCCTTTCAAAGGTTTTTTATTCCTCTTTAGAGGCGTGACCATTTCATTTCAGCTACAATGTAGAACATGATCACTTGACTCTTCATCTGGAAAACACAAAAACAATTTTGCCTGGCAAAGTTGAAGAGCATTCAGTTATTCTATTAAAGCCCCATTAGGCTGAATTCACTTGAAGCCACGTTGTGCAACTGACACCCAACAACAAATCATGATTCAACCATTTCTCGCCGGTATTCGGTAGTGCCCCACTGCTACACTTACCGTATATAGTATGTTCAATGCAACAAATGGGATCCTAACCTATTATGGTGGACGGCCTCCCCAGGGGACACCAATTACCAAAAAGAAATAATCAAACCACGATTTGTTGCCCTGGATATCAGTAAAACGCAACTTCAATTGTTAAGAGGAAGTTATTGAAAACATCTACAGCCAAATGCTTAAAGTCTAATACCAAACATGCTCAACTAGAAGTAGCTTACCAAAATTCTGATCTTGACAAATAATCAGAGGAGTCAGCTTTATGCAGATTAAAAAGACTTGGACGACAAAAACAAATTTGTTGGATCTACAATAATATCCCTAACTGCAACAAACCTATTATTATCCACATCCCACACTTTATATTCATTTGGATCACAATCAACCATTATAGCTTTCCAGGATTTGATAGCAAATTTTGTTTTCCTGGTTTTTATTTACTATACCGGGTGACAACGAAATCGTTATACAAGGCGTCATTCAGTCGTCTTTAAATTTAAAAATTTGAAAATCGGGTGGAACGGGTAAGTCATTGAGACGCACGCATAAAAAAACAATTGATAATCACTTCCGGTTACTTTGGAAATGGACCCAAGTCAATTTTTTTTTATGGAACCCTGTATATTTTTTTACACAGTTGGATAGAGCTTAAAATTCCCTTTTCAATGGCATACGATAAGTGGAATTTGTTTTTAAGATGGCGGCGTGAGAAGGCACTTTCTTAAATTCAATATGGCGGCATTCTGACCTAACCTTTGAATACCTAACCGAAAAATGAATATGCATTTTAAAAAAAACATCTTTATTCATCAATAATAATAGTACATAAACGTCTTATTCTCTAATCAGTGCCTATAGCTCTGGCCTCGAGAAAAAATATATATATAGATATACAATGTGCTTGAATAATAGTGTTTCTTAAATTTCCAATAACAGTAAGTTCAAGGGCAATTATTATTTATGTAAGTATTCAAAAACTTACCCATATTAATAAGTTTACCGTCTTTGTAAATACTAGCACCTTTTTTTTTTTCTTTTTTTTTTTAGGCAATAGTTATACCAGCCTGTTGCATTTTTCTTACGGACAGCAAATTGTAAGGAACCTCTGAACAGTACAACACATCCATAAAAGTTCAATTTTTTTTTTATAATCCAAAAAATGTTTCTTTGTGTTTGGAGCATTGGGTTTGAAATTGCATCTTTTAAAATCGAGTTTAAAATATCCTTAACGATAATTATTTCTGGATTGCTGGGCTCTGGAGTTCTTATCCAAGTTCAAGGTCTGTTAGCATGCAATCTTTTGTTTCTTTCTAGTTTCAAATTTTTCATTGTCACTATCACACTAAACACTTGGTTTTCACAACCACGATGAATACACGTACACTGGGTCCATAACCGATTGGAAAATAGACTAAGAAATTAAAGAACTTGTTAATTATCGATATTCAATATATTTATAATATCGAACACAGCGTGGAAAGCAGAGCGTGCGAACTCATAGAACTAACTATAGGAACTGACACATCGAAAGACAAAGAATTACAAACCCTTTTTTAAGTGAACGATTCCTCATCTGTTTATCCTACATATAAAAACTAATATAAACACGTTCAGTCATCCATAGCTGCAATATAAATTAGCAAAGTATAGGCTTATAATCAAAGTTCGATTTATTAATTTTTGTTTCACTGATATGAATATCAGTTTATCCAACATTTAGATCAGACCACTTTTTCGCAGATCTGTTTTCATATTAAAATTGTCGAGAAAATTGTATTCGCTAACATTCAATGTTCTCTATCTTAAGCCCCCTTTATTCATCTTGAGATAAACTTGCTCGTAACTATCTGCAAGATAAATTTACAGATCTATAATCCTGTTGGTCACTGGATAATTGGCTGACCAATGGGATTACATATTGCGGTTTTATCCGTCAGATTGCATTACCTGACAGCTTGCCTGACAGTTTATTAGAAACTGAATAAACCGGCTCTTATATGCATTGAGAGGCCGTTGAAGACCCGGGAATAAACAAAAATTGAGACAGAAAAATTTAGAAATTTGTTAAGGTGAGATTGATCAATCCGCCAACAAACTACGTGAACC